TAAAAATTACATCTATGAAAACTTTTTTACCTATTGCAATAACAGTACCTTTCATGGCAGTAAAAGTTTGAAATGAGAATAATATTGCAGTTATTTCGTTTTCCTTTATAATTTAATACATTTTAAAGTTTTCAAATTGGTTTTGTATTGGGATTAAAACGAAGAAAGGTGAGTGACCAATGAGTCGCCAATGGCAATAACTGAAAATGTCCATTGGAAATGTTTTTTCTTTTTTTAAAAAATTACTATCAATGAATGTTTGGATGATTACATATCTCAAATGGCTTTTTTTTCTTGCCATTTACAGATTATATACACATAAAAATATATTTTAATTACAAATTTCTCTGTACTTTCCGGGTAACTTCCGGATTCTGAGATATCTCGGGTATTTCAAGAGTTGAAATAATATATAGATAAATAAGTGATATGAAATTCAATCAGATCAAATGGAATACAAAGCATTTGTCTAGCAAATCAAATGCAGTGCTTTCTTTTCATTAATTATTTTGGAAGCCTAATTTTTCAACTTTTTGCTGTCATATTCAAATTCTAAATCAAATTTAATTATAAGTAGAAGATCTAATCAATGGTAGACACTTTGCTGAGTAGAAAATGTGACTGCAATAGGTAATTTTATGAATTGAAATTAAAATTAAATAATGGATTGATCAATGAATTAAACTTAAGAAAAAAATCTGTTGAAATAATATTTGATTTGGTCACAACAATTGGAATGGTCAGATGATACGGTCACAGCAACTTTTATTACGATTCTCGGAAATGACAGTGATAGTTTGAAGTCAATCATTAATTAATTATGTGACATAATTAGAATGTTTAGATTTTTGAATTGGAATTGAAAATAAAGTTAACAATTTGATTAGAAATATTTTAGCAAAAGTGCAGCAATGTTTCAGAAATTAACTGATGAATTCACTTTATTGTTCAAATATATCACAAAAGAAAAAAAACAAAAACAAAAACCACTGATCAGTTTTAATAACAAATATGCAAATTAGTATTTATGAGATCTCATAAATTCATTAGAGTAATTTGAACAGTTTAAAAGTAAAAGAAATTTTAAAAAATTTCTTTTTAAACATTCCAATATTTAGAATTTTGCTTAAAATGATACTTATTTTAAAACACAATGTTCAAAAATTAAATTAGTAAAAGTAAAATTTTGGAAATTATTGTCGCAAATTTTTTCATACATCTTATAAGTTCATTATTTCTGAATAAAATTATGATTACTTTTCATATATCAAAAAAGAAAAAAAAAAAAGAGTACAACTACAAAAAGTATGATAATACCCTAATATTTAAAATTTTGAAAATTTATTTATATTTGCAATTATTCAAAAAGTTTGGAGAAAAAGTGAACATTTAAAAGTTATTTTTAAATTCATTACTTTACTAACATTCTCATTTGCTGTATGAAAAATTGACATTTCAATGCAAAGCTAATGAAAATATAATTTTAACAAGCTTTTTTTTAAAAAAATTTTAGGAATTAGTAAAAAAAAAAAGTTAATAGAATTATATAGGAAAACATTTAATGAAATATTTAAAAAATTAAGTAATAAAAAGAAATGGTTAGTGAATATTTTTAGTATATTTCAATATTTGAGATTTTTTTTTTCTTCATTCTTAAGTATCATTTCAGTTAAAATTTATCAAACAAAACATTTCAAATATTCACAAAGTGAATTATTTGTTTAATTCAGTTTAATCATCAATAAAATAATTGAAATATTTTTACTTTTTGTTAGCTATTTGGTGGCTTACATAATTTTCAAAAAATTTGAAGCAGTGATTTTGAAAATTTATTGAGAATTCAATTCATTCAAAATATTATTGATATAAAATTATTAGTTTCATATCAGTTTTGAAGAATAATTTTTGCACTTGAAAATAAGCTTTGATTCACTTTCATCTTCAAATGCTCACTGATAACTTCTAACAATCAATGAAATTTAATTTTTGAATTTAATCGATGAACTAACTTAACAATTTGATGGATTTCTGTTGCTGCAAAATGACATTTGCATTTTTTATTCTTGCATTGATCTATCTTAAATTATTGTAAAGATTTTAAATGAGTTACTTTTTAGTTTTAATTTTTAGTTTTATCTCGATCAGCCGACAAATTTCACTATGTAATAGTGATGACATGTGAATATTATTGCTTAAGATGTGAAATAAATAAATGATTTAATCGATTGATTAGAAATAAATGAATGATTTAATCGATTGATTAGAAATAAATGAATGATTTAATCGATTGATTAGAAATAAATGAATGATTTAATCGATTGATTAGAAATAAATGAATAATTTGATCGATTGATTAGAAATAAATGAATAATTTAATCGATTGAATAGAAATAAATGAATAATTTAATCGATTGATTAGAAATAAATGAATGATTTAATCGATTGATTAGAAATAAATGAATGATTTAATCGATTGATTAGAAATAAATGAATGATTTGATCGATTGATTAGAAATAAATGAATAATTTAATCAACTGATTAGACTATCAGTGATAACTTAAATATTTTTGACTCTAAATGTTGTCCAGTTTGTTAAGCAATAATATTTTCTTAAAGCTTTTTGAAATATTATATTGTAAAGAATCTTTTATCACAATGTCCAAATATAATTGCAATATGCAATTAGATCATTATCTGTAATAAATTTTAATCAAATCTCTTCAAATAAATTTCAATTTTGAATTTACTTTTTGTTTATTCAATCTAACTTTTGTCATAATCCAATTGAAATCGATGATATCTGAGTGGAAATTGTTATTTTAAGCAAAAGAAATCTAGAATTTTCACTTAATTTTGTTACATTTCCTAATCATTCATGTGTGCAACTAACAATATTCTTTTATTGGCGCAAATGTTATTGCTGTTGTCATTTGTCATTTGTTACTGCTATAATTAGATATTTGAAAATTACGATTAATTTAAGGGAACGAAACCTTTTCTGTGCTAAAAATTTTATTCAATTAATAAAATTAAAAGTGAAACAAAAAAAAAAAAAAGAAAAAAAATGACAATAAAATATTCTCAAATTAAATCAAAACTAAATACAATTATTTAATTAATTGAAAAACAACAACAAACAAACAAACATTTCAGCTTTTTCTTTTTCTTTTTTTTTTTTTCAAAATAAATATTTTTTTTTCAAAAAATTAAAAAAAAAAATAAAATATATAGTTTCTATTTTTATTAAAGCAATGAATTGCATAAATCTCTCTTTTATTAAATAGTCATGTTAACCTTGTCATGACCAACCTTTCATTCGTGTTTTATTTCGTTTCAATTTAAAGTAAATTTAAACTTAAATTGGAATTTAAAAAGTTTATAATTCACTCGAATAAATAAATTATTTTAATCATTTAAAGCAGAGCAAACAGTTTGCTTTTTGGTTAACATATAATAAATATGCATAAAGAAACACACAAATAGTGAATGAAATTGAACAAAATTAAATTTGATAATGCAGAAAATAGGCATAACAAGGCGATTATGAAGTAAGCTAAATTAAATTTAAATTTAATAAAATCAAAATTTGTATCACAAAAGAAAATCATGATAAATATCATGATAAACATTGTTAACTAACATGTTACTCATGCTTTAAGTAATCATCATTACTAAAATAACATAATATAACGAAATTTAATAGCTAAAGGTGGACAATTATATTTATCTCTGATGTTATTATTGGAATTAAATTTTTTTTTTTTTTGCCACACAAATTATGCGAGAAATTTAAATAAATTTCAAAATGTTATAATATTTTTAAAATGTTTAAAAGTAAACATTGTTATGAATTGGTTTATTGATGATTGTAGCTGCCATCAGAAGTGTTTAAATCCTGAAAAAACGACGTAGAAATACAATTCAGTAAACAAATAAGTCAAATTTTTCATTTTTACATCGCTTGTTCGTTGCGGGTACGTCCGTGAATTTAAATATTTCACTGTACGTCTTAGATTGTGACGTACGTCAGCTGTAAATTGAAAAAACGTAAGACATAAAAGCTTTCGTCAAGCTAAAAGAGTGTGGAAAAATGTAATCGATTGATCAAAATGAGTAAATAAAAGTAATAAAAGTTGTTTCTTTTCTAACTGTAAGTATCATTTCTGAAAAACAGATCAGTAAATTTTTTATCTTAAAGTTTAAAATTAGTAAAATCAGTAAACATTAGTAAAATTAATAAAGTAATTTAATAAACAATCAATTTTTAAAAATTTTTTTTCGGAAAAATCTTAACACTATAACTTTACAGTTAGAATAAAATCGGAAAATGTTGAAGATAATTTTAGGTTTTGTGAAATTTTTGCCCGGAAAATTTGTGAAGTGAAGAAAATTTGCCCCGGAATTTGAACAATTTGCAGCGATTTTACTTGGGTAACCATTATTATCCAATGAAATTATCTAAAGTAGTGTATAAAATTCTTATCATTTTTACCAATTTTTTATATTTCAAAAAAAGAAAAAAAAGATTGAACTTGTAAAAAAAGCCAAAAAGAATTGAGAAATAACTATGTTTTTTTGCTCTTTTACTAATTTTAAAATGAAATGTAACAATTTCAAAATGTTCATTTGATAATTTCGAAAAAAAAAGTTTTTAAAAAATTAATTAAGTTTGATAATGAATAGAGCAAATTTCAGGATGTATTAGATGAAAATCTTAAAAATTAATATTATATCATAAAATATTCCTTATTTTAATAATTCAGAATTCATTTCTTTTCTTTCTTTTTTTTTTTTGATAAAATACCGATATCAAATTTTATATTAAAAAATCAAATTTTCACTCTTTCTACTCTAAATTTTTCGTTTAGTTTTACAAAAAAAAAAAGAAAGGAAAATAAGAATGAAAATATTTAAATTAGAAGAAATAAGAAATTTCATATATGCTTTAATGTGAAGCGGTTGACATCATTCATTTCAAATTATTCAAATAGATATTAGAATGTCACCAACATCATCAAGAAGAAATGCTCAACATAATTTATCAACATCCTTATTAGCATCATCTTCTCAAACATCAATGCTTTGGAATATTCAATATTTAGAATCGTTGATGAAATTTATCAATGATAGTCGAAATTCACAAACTATTAAGGTGTTTGATTAAAAAATAATTTAAATTAAAATGTTGCATATTTTGTAATTTATTATTTAATTACTAAATAAAAATTATTAACTCTATAACAATAAGTAACTTTATTTCTTTATTGATTAATAATTATTTTTTTTTAAAAAAAAAAAAATTTCATCCAAATTTTATCAGTGCTATTAAAATAACTTTCCATTAGCTCATTTATTTTTTTTTTTTTTATCCTTTCTTCTTTTTTTCCCTCTCCCTCTCTCTCTCTCTCTCTCTCTTTTCTTTTAAGTCAATTTTCATCCAATATTGAATAAATTTTTAGCTAAGCTAATAACTTCGTAGTTTTGTGTAAAATGTTGAATACTTAATGAAAGAATTGAAAAGAATATATAATACTTAAAATTGATTTTTTCCACTTTTTTTTTTTTTTTTTGAGTAACTTTTAATAACTTTTGTTTCTTTATTTTTTTTTTTGTTGAAATTTTACTAAATTTGAATAATCAATTTTATTTTGAATAATTATCATAAAATATATTTAATAACTATTATAGCTACAAAGTCGTATCAATCATTTCAATTCAAAAATGTTTGCTAAAATTGAAAATATGAAAATGGAACGTAATCGTATACTTTATGAAAATGAAACAAAAATGAAAAATTGAATTAATTATGCTATTCTTTCATTTATGATAATACATCAAATATGATTTAAATAATTTGATAAAATAATTAATTTAATAAAAACTTCTCACAAGCAACAATTGCTATTTTTAAATTTTAATGTTTTCGCGAAAAAAAATTTTTTTTTTTTCTTCTAAATTACTAAATGACAGATAGATTAATAATTTAATTAACTATCTAAAAAGTGAAATAAAATTTTAGAATAAAATTACAAATATTTATTTTATGCTATTTTTGTTATCTCTGTGCTAAATGCAAAATGCATGAATAAAATGACAGATTAAAATTTTAAAAAAAAAAAAAAAAAAAAGAAAAATGTTATCGAATATATTAATTGTAATTTTCTATAATTATCTTATAGCAATCAAGAATCTGCAATATTTTTTAATTAGCTTTTTTTTTTTTTTTTTTTTGTTTCTTTTCAGCTACTAACTAAATTTTTTAACTTCAAAAAAAAAAAAAAAAAAAAATTTCTAATCAATATTTTTTGAAGAAAATAAAACTTTTTCAGATTAAAAGTTTTTTTTTTTTGTAGAAAGAAAGTTTAAAAAAAGTTTGATGAGAAATAGAAATGAAAAATTTTTTTTTTTTTCATTTTTCTCTTTCTATGTTTCACTTTTTTTTTTATCAGAAAAAAAAAGAATAGAAAATTCTAGGAATAAAAAAAAAAAAAAATTGAAAATGGAATCATTTATTTGCATGTCTATGAATTTTAATGAAAATACTTGCATGTGTGGTTTAAATCGATCTCATCCTCTGTCACCTCATTTTTCTCGTCTCTTAATAAGACGTCATTTAATATAAGTAATAATGAATTTTCACTTTTAATATCATATTCAAAACCATTTTCTACTTTTTCTTTTTTTTTTTTTTTTTTTTTTTTTGAAAAAAGGAAGAGAGAAATTAAAAATTTTTTTTAAATGTTACATATAGTTGTATAATTTGATGTAAATAGCTAAACATTTTAAAGTTTAATTATCTTAGTAGTTCTGTTTTTTTTTTTTTTTTTTTTTTAAATTTCATAATTTGTAAATTTTAATGAATTAATTTTCAGTAAATTTTTATTATTTTTTTTTTTTTGTTTGTTATTTCATATAAAATGCAAAGTTTTCGTGATTTTTTTTTTTTTTACAAAGATTTCACTTATTTTAATGTAATCTAAAAATAATAGAAATGGATTACTTTATGTAAGTAAGTTAAAGTAAATAATACTTTGCTCAATCATTTTGCTTATTTTTCTATTTATAAGAAAATGTTTTGTAATTGCAAAGGAGTAATTATAAAAAGAGCACTTTGATAGTTTTACTTTATATTCATTCATGCATTATTATATTTTGTATTAAGTTTTCATTTCCTTTTTATTACTTCCATTTTTTTTTCCATATTTTGTTGTTTTTTTTTAATTTCAGTCTTTTTTTAAAAAATCTTTAATTCAAATTTCAATTGTTGGTATTTTTGATTTTGAAATTTAAACATTAATAAATAATTGTTTATTTTAATTGTTTATAATTAATTGTTTATTTGTACCATCTTTGATAGCATCTTATAAAAGAATTTTGTCAAATCATTTGCTTAGTTATTTTAAAAAATGAACTTACATCATCAAATGTCCATTTTAATTCTAAAATTTTAGAATGAAAATAATTGAAGAGAAGAAAAAAAACAAAAAAAAAAAAAAGATAAGAATGTTTGAAATTGGGTATTTAACGACGACGACACCCTCTTCATTTATCCAATAAAACTTTGAATAAAAAAAAACATCCATTATCGAACAACAAATTTTCAAATCTTAAAACATTTATTCAAACTACTTTTAACTGCCTTTGCTTAAAACTAACTTCAACTTTTTCATCTCTTTTCTCTTTTTGAAAAAAAAAAAATAAAAGCAAACAATTTTTTGAAACAACTTTCTCTTTTTTCTACTTTTTATTTTTTTGTAGGATGAAAATACATTTGAGGAAAAGAAAAGTAAAACTAAAAATTGAGCACTTTCAGAGAATTATTTTTTTGATAAAATTGAAACAGAAAAAAAAAAAAAAAAAACGCTAAAATGATTTTTAATAATTTTGATAAAATTGAAATTTTATTTTTGAGCATGAAAAAATTTGAAAAACAATGATTTATCCTATCATATATAAATGGATAATTAAAGAAAAAATATTCGTCATTAAAGATTATTACTTATTAAATAAAATTACTGAATAAATGTGGAGAAAAAAGTTAAAATACTAAATATTGTCAACATTAGAAAGTTAATTTTGATACTAATAAACTAAAACACTCAGAGGAAATCTCAAATACTATCAAGAAATCTCGGGTTATTACCCTGCGATATCGTGAATTCGCCTTTCTCTTTTCAATACACATTATCATACACAGTTTATAATGATTATTTAATCAACAAATATTATCCTAATTGACTTTTATATTTTTATCATTCAATTCAAATTATTAATTACTAATTGGAAATCATTATTTGGATACCTATTCTTCCCTTTTTAATCTTATGAAAAATTAATGGCATTGGTAAAAAGAAAAGTTTTAAAAAAAGTGATTTTCTTTTTTTTGAAAAAATAAAAATATTTTTCTTTTCGTTAAAATTTCCTTTTCAAAATTGGAATATATTTCATCGAAAGATGCGATTAATATTTATTAATACTTTAAATTGTTCAGTTAACAAAAAATTACATCCAAATTTTTTGTTTTTTTTTTAAAAAAAAAAAATAAAGAAAGAGAAAAATTTGAAAATTATAAGAATACAAATTAAAGGATTAATTTAAAATTAAACTTTGCAAAGTTTCAAATGTTTTCAGCACAAATAAATGATATCTTTAATGAGAATAACCCAATCATTCAGCATTTATAGTAGATGGATAATGGCATAAGGACATGCTAATGCCATAAAGTCTGTCAATCAGTCATTTGGTGACAATTCCGTAATTAATTCAAGCCAATTCATCTCTCTTAGTTGTATCTTCAATAACTTTATAATGATAAAAATAAACAAATTCATTTAATATCGTAATTTTATGATTGTTCTTCTTGCTTTTTTGCATAATTTTTATTAATAATAAAAACAATTAACAATTAAAAAGTAACATAATTTATAGTTAATTAAAAAATTTCCCAATTTAACTGAAATTTTTGGAAAAAGTACTGAAGACAAAATAGAACTATTTGTAATTTCTTTCTTTTTTCTTTTGTTTGCTAATTAATTATGCTAATATTTTATTAGTTAAAATCAAAATGAAATTTAATAATATTTTCCTTCGTTTGTTTGTTAATTATACTAATTAACATCAAAATGAAATTTAATAATATTTTCCTTTGTTAATTATACTAACATCAAAATGAAATTTAATAATACATCAAATTTATAATAAAATGTTCCATTTGTTTACAATTTTATTTCATGTTTAATGAATGTTCAAAATAAAAAGCAAAAAAAAAAAAAAAAAAAAAAAAGAAGGAAGGAAAATAATGAATGAATTGATTGATAATAATAAACGATAGTAAATGAGAGTAAGAGAGTAATTTAAAATCACTTCACGATTGTCCCCTTTAGGTATTGACACTAAATCAGCAGCATCAGTTGAAGAATGCTAACAAAACAAGTTAATGATAAAATTGTTAGGCTAATGCATAGAAATTAAATTGAAAGGTCATTTTTGCTGTGTCATAGTAAAAAAGCCTATTAAATATCTCATTTTTACGAGTGATTTCACTCTTTTCTACTAGTAATTTTTTTTTTTTTTTTTTAAATTGCATTTCCATTCATTTTCTTTTCTTAAAACTTAAAAAATAAAAGCATAAATAAGTTTTATTCTGATTTAAAATTGTAAAACCCTATTATCTGTCTGTCATAATAATGTGAAAATTTAAAAAATTCTTTTATTTTTTAAAATATTATTTAGACATTAGTTTAGGCAAAACTGTTTTAATCTATTGGTAGTGCAATATAATATACAGCTATGAAAGAATCGTCTATCAACTATCATGCTTCTTATCACTATTATCAGTAATTATCTTTTTTTAATATCATTTTAACTATCAGAAATAATATAGCAATTTATCAGTTTATTTTATGCTTTTGATTGGATTTTAGTATTTTATTATTTTGATTTATATTCAAAAATTTAAATACTCAATGATATATTAGTGAGAAAACGATGAAAAGAAGTTGATCAAAAATAAAAAAATAATTAAAGGATTAAAAAGTATTATCATTTATGCAACAACAATTATTATCGATCATCTGCTATTATTATCGTATACCATCTATTGTTATTATTATTATTATTATTATTATTATTATTATTATTATTATTATTATTATTTTATTATTATTATTATTATTATTATTATTATTATTATTATTATTATTATTATTATTATTATTATTATTATTATTATTGTCATAACCGTTTTTTTACTATTTTTATTATCATATATTGTTATTGTTATCGTTATCACTTTCATTCAATATCTTTATCAACAACTGTTATCAACATCATTATCAATACTTCCTTCATTTCGTTATTATTGTCACTATTCCGTTATTAACATATTCTGTGGTATTATCGAAATCGTTGTTACTGAAAATATTTGTTATAAATAATTAATAATGTGAATTGCATATGATGCGATTTTATATAATAAAAAAAAAAGAGAAAACGAAATAAGAAAGAGTCATAAAATAAAAATAACAAATATATTAAATTGATAAAAGATTAATTGCAATTTTTTCATTGTAAAAATTTTGTTTTAAATTTGAAAATATATTCTTGAAATAAATAACCTAAATCATTCCTTGGCTTACTATAAATTATTTGAAAAACAACCCTGTATGATGGTCATTCAATAAATTTTGAAGTTTTTCAAAGAATATAAAAAGTTTTGAAATGGCAAACTATAAATTGATCATCAGAAGTTAACAATGACTAATTCAGGCAATCATTCAAGCTAATCCATTTTCAATTAATTGAAATTGTCGAAAAGGATCTAACATAGCTATTCAATGATCATTTACTATTCAAAATAAATTGGAATCATTTAAAAGCTCAATAAATAAGCTAATCGAAAATTAAAAAATAGTACTTCAACCCTTTAGTGATAGCTTTTCATTCCATACAACAATCAATCAAATAAAATTTATGATAAGCAAATCGATAAAATAAATTAAAGCAAATGCACTTTCTTCCATCAACCGAATGTTCTAATTTATCCAACAACCAAAATTTTAAAAAACAAAAAAAAAAAGAGTTGAAATTTTATTTATTATATTAATATGATCATAAGATTCAAGATTCAAAACATATTTCAGTAATTTCTTGAATAAATTAAACTGTAAGCATTATTAATGAAGTTATTTCTTACTTGCAAATTAAGTTAAATGCTTTTTTTTGTTTTGATTAATATCAAAGCATTAATACTTATTAATGACTTAAAAATGTAGTTACCTGAGTGGCATTTAGGGTAGGTAAGAATGGGTAAGAAAATAATATTTAAGTGAATAATTCCAGTATTTAGCAATGCTATGTATTATGAATTTGTAGCTTTACCTTTAATTATTTATAGTCAGAAATGTTAGTTTATATAAATGAGTTTCATTAAACAAATATTTACATTTTCTTTGTGCTATATTAGGTAAAAATCTCAAATGAAATTAATATGAAAGTTTGAAACGACGAGAAGAAAGAGCTTTAATTAAAAAGTATGAAAGAGAATTTAAATTTATTCAAATTAATAGTTTCTTTTGCTAATTCTAATTTGACAATTTTCTTGTGTGCCAAATGATTTTGATCCATCTAATCTTTACACTTTTAAGTAACAAATTTAACCAGGTACAGATATTATCCGAAATTATTTAAATTTCATTTTTCTCATTAACTTTAACCAATGGTTTACTACTTCCTTTGCAAGATAAAAAGATAATTACAAGATAATTTTTTAAGATAATTTTTGATCATAAATTTTATTATGATTTTATTTTCAAACATAAGAATGAATTAGAAAGTTTTCCGGAAAAAAAAACCGGTAACATGCATTTTTTGTTGTCTGAAAGTTAAACTCATTTCTATTCTCTCAAATATTATACAAACATTTATCAGTTAAAATAATATCACTTAAATCGATGAAGTCATTAATAAAAATAATTGATCGTCTTCTTCTCTTTTTTTTTTCCTCCTTTTTTTTCAATTTTTAATTTAAATAATCTCTGTCAAATTGCTTCATTTCATTTCTTTATCATTTAAGATATTATTTGATTACAATATTTTTGCACTTATATCTCTTCAATTTCCATATTTGTTGTTGTATCAATTTGAATTCTCCACTCGAAAGATTCTTGTAGTTTTATTAATTTCCATTCCTTTTATTTAGATTTTTTTTTTTTTTTTGTTATAATAATAGTATAAGTTGTTTTCTATTTTTATGAATTTAAAATCCTTTTTTTTTTTCTCTTAGCATTAGCTTTTATTTTTGATTAAATTGCTGAAAAGTGAAATTATTTGACTGATAATTCAAGAAGTACTTTTGATCAACTCTCGAGATCAATGAATAAAGTTCATAAATCGACACAGACTAAAACTTTCAATAGGTAGAAAAAACAATTTCAATTATTACTTTTTCTACAATCTGAAATATAAATATTATTTTGAATAAGACACGTTTCACGTAGCTGACGTTTTTTTCTTTTCAAAACTAATTTAAATTACTTTTATGCAATGTTATAAAATTTAAGTCGTTTAATTTAAATTAGTTATAAAATGTAAATTAAGTTTTTTTCGTCAAATTTGTTTCAAAGTTTTATATTTCTTCTATTTTCATTATGATGAGAATTGCTATTCAATTAATTGATATTCGCACTAAATTATCATTTTATTAATTTTATTTTTTTGCATTATTAATGCAAATACCATTTAATCATTTCTATCTTTTTTTTTTTAAATTTTCAATTACCATATTCATGGAATACTTAAATAGATACTTTTAAAAAAGTAACCAATTGAAAATTAAATTTATTACAAGTTCATTTCAAATATTACTTCTTAGATACTGTTTTCGATGATTATTTTAATCAGAAAAGTTTTTTTTTTTTTTTTTTTTTTCCGACCCTTCTTTTTTCTTCTATGCTAAAATATAAATTTTAATAAAATGGCAAAAATATTTAGCAAAAGTTAATATTCGAATATCATTTTCATTAAACATTTCTCTCTCTCTCTCTCTCTTTTTTTTTTGTTTATATTTTATAATCTTGCTTAATGTAAACGAATATAGTTAGCATATGTATTTGTTAATGAAATTTAATCCTTAAAGTAAAGAAAGAATGAGGGAGAGGGAGAGAGAGAGAAAGATTAGAAAGAGTAGAATTGATGACAACTTATTCCTTTCTTATATTTTCCTTTTCTACTTGATCACCCAACCGGATATAATTTATGTATATACTTCAGTTTTTCTTCAAAAGCAAAGAGTTTATTTCTTCAATATTTTAAAAGAAAATTTTCAAACCTGTCATATGGTAATTTCTATTATAGTAGGCAAACTATTTCAACTTAAAATAAACAAACTATTTCTAAATCAAAAACGATTAATCTTTACAATAATATAAATCGATAGCAAAATTAGGCAAAATAATGAAATTAAATCAAAATCGAGATTTCATCTATTAAAATGCTTGATAACACTATTATAAATTATTCTAATATTTTCCAAATTTTCCATATTTCTCGTTATTCTTGTCAATCATATTGTAAATTCATTTAAATTACCTTACCTTTTTTTTTAAAAAAAAATTTTATCATATTTTTGTTAAAATAATACCATAAAAATGATAAAACTTTTTCTAAACTTATTTTTTATTTGCTTATTTCCTCCTTTTTTTTTTTTTTGAAGAAAAAAAGAATTTTTTTTTTAAAAATGCAACAGTAATGGTTATTTGATAACATTGTTTTATTTATGATTACTGTATTTAAAAAAAAAAAAAATGAAATTTAAAATTATAAAAATTCCTCTACGTTATTCGATCTTAGTTTATCTTTATTCTTTTCATCTTCCTTATATTTTCCCATTTTCAAATAATTTTAAGAACGATTGAATAAATATAAAAGTTTTCTTCAAGTATTTTAGTACTCAAGAAAGTTTTTCTTTTCAAATTCCCTGACTGAAATATTATAATTTTATTTTTTTCAATAATTAATAACTTCTGACAAATTTTCAATTATATTTTATTTGTTAATATTTAGAAATTTAATATAATCTTTCCGTGATACTAATATTAGCAATGATAATCAAACTTTTACTTTAAAGTAAATACAATATCAAATTCTATCTAATCAGTTCATATTATCAGGTGGTAGTGATATTATTCGATAGTAATTGAACGATAAAATTTGTCAATTTTTCTTATCAGAAATGATTTATGCAATATTTTTCGCTTATTATTATTGATGGTAGATGATAAGTTACTGATAAATTCTTCATAAATATTTTTAAAATGATTTCTTCTTTGAATAGAATTAGATTCAGTTACTTTGAGTTTTAAGTAAATTTTAAATGTCATAAATTCTGAATTATGAAATTAAACTTTTAAAAATTTATCCCTCTTTGTACATACTGAAAATTTTTAAGTTTAGAAACGAAATTGACACTTTTTCTTGTCTTTTATTATATTTTTGTTGCATTAACAAATTTCAAACTATTTGTTCAATGATTGTTAGATTTTATTTGTTAGAATACTTCTTTACACTTTTTAACAGATACTTTACAATTTACTTACAAATTTACTACTTTACAAATTACTTTTCAAATTTACTCTTTCCAACTTTTAAAACTTACAAATTTACTACTTTATAAATTACTTTACAAATTTACTCTTTCCAACTTTTAAAACTTACAAATTTACTACTTTATAAATTACTTACATATTTACTTCTTTTAACAGATACTTTACAAATTATTAAGGCATATTAAACGATGCTCTCTAAAAGATCATTCAAAAAGCATCCAAACATGTTTTCAAAGTTTTTTTTACAAATTAGTATCAGAATAAAGAAATCATACCTAATAAAATTTCAGAAGTGTGAATAATATCAGACTTATATTTGGTCTATTTTGGTTTGTACCCATTCATAAATCACTAAAATTGATATGATAAACACATCTATCAATAATTAATTTTAAATTTGTATATAGCACTTTCACTCCAATTAATTGAATTTTTTTTTTTTCAAATAATAAATACCACATTTTTCTGAAAAAATTAAATTACATTTGAACAATAAATATACATTTTTTTTGAACGTCTTATTTTCATTCTATCTGCTTGTTTACAAATTTATAAATTTTCTTTTTTTTTTATAAAACTTTATTATCCAGCTTTTAAATCTACAATTACTTCCTTTTTTAGAAGTATGAGTGTTGGTGTGCGAAGATCAAAATCACTTCTTTATCCTAAAGGTTTCTTTTCTTTTTTTTTTTTTGCCATTTTTCTGCAAATCAATTTAGGAATTTTTTGAGTACTCAATTTTAAATATATTTCAATGCATGAAATATATATTTCCATTTTTTCTTTTTTTTTTTTGATAAAAGAATTATCATTTTAACTGTTTTATTATAATTTGCAGCTGTGAGAATGAACATTCAAATTCTTTAAAATTAAATGATAATTTTTTTTTTCTTTTTTTGCGATCAAAATAATTCTAGCAATAAATTTACAGTATTTATTTTTATACTTAAAATTTTATACTTTTAAACATTAATTTTTATCATTAAATTAATTCTAGCAATAAGTTATAATATTCATTTATTAAGGAAACTCTACAAGAAATTTAAATTTATTAGAAAAAACGGATTTGTATGGAAAATATTTAAAGAAAAGCAATATTGAATTTAAAAAAAAAAAAAAAAATATTGAAAAAAAAAATCCAATATTGTATATGAAATTTACTTTCTCACGCTTCCCAACTTTTTATTTTATTAGCACTCTCGAAATACTCTTTCTCAATCTATTCCATCTTGGATGAATAACAATTATTTGCTAGTATTATTGTAATAAAAATCTAATTTCTGAATTTAAAATTAAATGAACGATTTTAATTTTGTTATTAGTTACATCATTTTACATAAATTTAACCCATAAATTTAAGGTACTACAAGAAATATGAATACAGCCCGTAAAAGTACCAAAGAAAGATGTCGTTCATTACGAAGACCAAGTGGGTTTTTGTTAGTTCAATTATTTCATCCAATCTCTTTTTAATTTTCTCAAAATTTGGCCATTCCATTTTTTTTTTATTGAAATTTCATATTTTAATTCGTAGTTTATTGTATATATTAAATGTTTGAAATATTTATTGTATTAATCATATCTGAACAATAGTAATAATAATAATAATAATATGTCCTCGAAATTAAACTTTCTTCAGCCATTCCATCAAAATTAACAATTCATCAACAACAAGCTTTGCTTACATCTTGGAAATCGTTACGACCTATCATTCAAACGCTTATGCGTAAAATATTGAATAATTTGGAAGAAGAAGTGCCTAAAGTTAAACAGGTGAATTTCATCTTATGATAATAATTCTGTTTCTTAATTAGACATGAAATTATCTTTGATTAATAAGCGAAATTAATATTGTAATTGTAATTTGTAAAAGATAAAAGAATTTGAATGATTCATTTGATTCAAAGATTTTTGCTTCGACAAATTTTCATATTAAAGAAAAACTTTGACGTATTGCCCTGATATTAGTTGACTTTTAGATTGTTGCAGATTTTTTGTCAAACAGCAGTGCTGGATGCTTTTAATCGTGAAAGTACATCAGAAAATCCGGGTACTTTAGAGGAACATGTAAAATTAATGATAGAGTATGGTTTATTGATAATTTATTCACATATTAATTTTTGATTTTTTTAAATCGAAGAAAGTAAATGGTTGCAAAAAGTTAAGATAGCTTTTTTATTTTGAAAAAAAAAAAAAAAAAGTTATTTTTATTTGATATAATTTAAATTCTGCACTATAATATAGATAGTGCTTTGGAAGATAAAACTGATAAGTAAATGGGTTAAAAAGTATGAAAATTTTTTTTAATTTTTAAAAATTTAAAGAAAAAAAAAAAGTTTAAACATTTCAGATTTTTTGATGATTTAGTAAATAACGCACAAGATGAAGAGAATATGTCAAATAAAATTAGAAAAGTTGGTCAATGTCATGCTATTCTCACTCAGTGCTCATTTAGTGCAGATATTTGGGAAAAGCTTGGTGAAATTACAATGCAATGTTTTAGTCGACAAGATGCTGTACAGGTAAATTACTCATTAACTTATTAACTCATTTAATTACTTAATGATTTACTTTTTCAATTAATAAATTTCAATTTTTAAAAAATAGCTACTACGCTTAATCCTTTTTGCTTTTCCACTATTTAAGTGGAATGTTACTGAAATCCAAAATAAGGCGTAGATAATTTTTTTATTTTACAAAACAATTAGAATTACTTTGAAAAAAATTTTACTTTATATTTAAAAGTAATTTTTAGAAGACAAGAGAAGCTGGAAAAGCTTGGCGTATATTAATTGCGTGGGTTACTGATGAATTGCGTTGTGGTTTTGATGGTCGAACAAGATCTAACAATAGGTTAGCTATTTTGTAGCATCATTTACCGGATGTTTTATATCGAAATTTCAGGAACATTTTACCGGAAATGAAATATTATGTCTTCAGAATGGATAAGTGGAGTAAAAGCAATTTAAACAAAAAAAAAAAAAAGAGGAAGTAAATAGAAAAAAGAGAAGAAAGGATGGAAGGGAGAGCAACTAAGGGGTTATTGCTGATTGTTGTAAATAAAAGTTTCAAATTCTCATTTGTACCAAAAGTATTATTCCTTTATTTACCTTTGACCTATCATTTTTGATGATTACCGATTAAAAAAGTCATTGTCACTAGCTTACCAATTATTTCATCATAAATTTTCAAAATTTCATTTTTGAAATTCCTATTCAGGAATAGAAAGTGAGGTTATCTTTGTACATGTATGATTTTCTGTGAGACTACTATCTTCTGTTTTCATTCTTTAAATGCTTTCAAAAAATTTGCTGCAAAGCTCGAAATGTTTCTTCAAACAAATGCCTGTGGTAACTGTTCTTCCAGTTTTCTGTTTTCGAAGTTATTCAGTTCTTCTAGCCATTGTAAGATCGATCAGCTCTAAAATCCAATATGTTTGTTGCTATTTTGACAATTAATTAAATTTGTTCCGAAGAATTACTCACCATTTTATGGCTATCAATAACTAAATGAATGGGAATACATAACATTTAACCAGATGGAAAGATTTTTCAAAAATGAATGCTAGCGTAATTGTTTAATTTGGGTAATGAATAATAATTTGAATGCACCTTTTACTCGATTTGATTATGAAGTACTCAATTATAATATGATTGATAATATGATCTAATTATTAAATGCCATATATGTAAACAAATACTTAAGTACTAATTTAGAATTGCTTTCCTAGTTATAATAATGAAAAAGAAAGAATGACATTCCATTTATCAAATAATAATAAAAAAATTCATTTCTAACACTTTACCAGTTGCATTCCACTAAATATTATCAACGATTAACTGACAGGAAAATGTCCATTTCAGGAATCCATCTTTGACCACTTCGGAGCAAACCTGTGAACGATCAGGACAACATCGGTATAGCTCGGATGTCAGTACACTTCAACAACATTTGCAGCATCTTAGATTTGAGTACGAACCCACCGTACCACTGTAATAGATTGTTGCACCTCTATTTATCCAATTTATTTATTATTTTTACTTTATCTTTCTCTAATTTAAAATTTATTGAACAATGTATATCACATCCTTAATTTTAAATCTGTCTTGATTTTTTCACAAATCCATATAGTCAATTTTACCAATTTGCTATTGCCATCATGAATGTACAGATACCTGACATTCCATTATATTTATATATTTCAAAGCCATAAACTGAATCTTCAACAAAGTTAATAGCTTTGCATAAAATATCAAAACCTGAATAAAGATATTTGAAGACATATTTTAATAAAATAATCATAAAAAATACATAATGAAGGACGTAATTAGATGATTAACTGATATTTGCGACTGTGTACTTGTGTAATTCGAGAAATTCTATCGTATGAACTTTACGGTGTTAAATCACATTTCGGAAGATTTCCAATATATTACAGCACAAAAGTACAAATTTAAATTAAAAAAAAGATAAAGATTAAGCTTTGCATAAAGAGGAAAACCATATACAGAACACATCCAGAAAAAGGAATCCGAAACTTTAATAACAGCGACTGATTGACTGACTGAGTGAACAAAATAAAAAAATAAAAAAAAAAGAAATGACAAAGAAAGCAAAAGTGATAAATACATTTTAGTCAAAAATATTTCCACTTTTTAGAAGAAAAAGTCAAACGATTAGCGATCAAATTTAATCAATCCTTGGAAGAGGTCTAATGCCACTTTTACCAAATTCTGGATTTCCCAACAACCTGTTAAAAGTCATTGTCAAGTCCATAACATGCATACCGCTTGTTCGAAACAATAACTTCTTACCATCATCTGTAAAAAAAAAAAAAAAAAAAAAAAAAAAAAAAAAAAAAACGCTTATATTATTTCACTTCATATTAAAAAATTTGATATAAAATTGTCATGAAATTGTTACTTTTACATTGCAAAAAGAAAGAAACAACTGGAAATATAACTTATAACAAATGTGCTTTTCACTTACTTAAATTTGCACAAAAATAAGGTGGTTGCCGATCATTCCTTATATTGCAATCCATTGTTGTCATTGGATTTGTCCTTCGAACATACGGTGAACTAATAAGAAACCAAAAATTTCTGAAAATTCATATTTAAATTTATATGCAATAATTTAGGCTTAATATTTGAAAAAGAAAAAAGTGTATTACTTAACTTTATTCTTATGACACAATTTGAAATTTTGGAATAAATAAATTATGTGTTGTAGTTGTTTAAATTTTTCTAAAAAAAAATGCAAAAATGAATGTAATGTATTACCTTAGAGATTGACAATCACCATAAAATGGATTAAATGAAAAGTGAATAGATTTGACATTTTTTAAGTCGACTCCTCGAATTGCTAATGCTGTCCTTTCAGCAGTACGCCATCTGGCACCGAAACGTATTCTCTCCCACATCTTACACATTATTCGTCTGTTAAATAAATTGAAATCAAAATGAATATTTAAATGATGTGGAATTCTAAAGCAAGTAATCAAGTCCTTCTACTACTTGACAAATTACTCGACTACCTTACTATATAATAAAGAAAAGTTAAATTTGAATTCGTGAATATGCCGTGGAGTATTTTCCTGTATTATGAGAAATCTTTTCTCACTATTCGTTCCACTTCTCCAATTTGCACTTATTCGAACCGATATAGATGTTAGTTAGATAAAGACAGTAAACATAAGTAAGTCTCGAAAATATGCAATTCAAGATTGTGAAAATCCTAAACCATGACAAGGAACTTGTGAATTCTCAACGGAACTTTATTTGATACTAATTACATAATAAAACACAAAAAAAGATCGGAAATCACTGCTTTTTCCATTCCGAAACTAATTGGCATATCCTATCCAAATTGTAAAACATCTCTTCGACTGTTTCGTTTTGTAATTCGTAAACGATTTTTTCCTAAAAATAACTTGCTTTTTTTTAAAAAACTAAGGAAAGTTTGAGTTCACTAAAAAATATCAAAAGACTATTTTAAAAAAGAAATTGGTATAAAAATGAATAACTATTGAAAATATAATGCAGTTTCATTCCACATTTCAGTAAGTTGTATTATAAAGACCGTTTATCTTTTGTTTTTGTTTTTATTTCATTTTTTTTTTTTTTTGCTTTTTTTCTTTATTATTTAACAACAAATGAAGAGGTTGCGAATAAAAACAAATCACAAATTAAACAGATAAAATTTCATTAACAAACAGTATACTGAGCTAGAGATTATTCATATTCGTGTTATCTTCTTATAAGACAAAAATTGTAACAGAATAAAAGAAGATAAAAAGATTTTCAAATATAATAAATATGATTTCATAGTAGTAATCTGAATAATATTCAAACTAAAAATAAACAGCTGGATCACTGAGTATCGAATTCTTGAAATCAAACTAAATCTAATTCTTCCATAAATAATGATCCTATAGAAATTAAAAAACAACTAACATCATATGAATCTTTCGCTTCTTCCAGTAGTGATCCGAATATTTCACATTCAATATTTTCTTCAATTTTCTTTTTATTATAACCACGAGCAGAAAGCCGATCATAGAGAAGCGTATTGTTACATCGTAAAACAAAGACAAAATCGAACCATCTTTCTGGGAAAAAATCGGAACCATGATAATCCACTATATATCCTCCACTTTCCGAATTCATCCTATCCTAAAGTTTAATATTAGAAAATTCGTACCAAGTATTAAAAGCAAAACTCATGGCAAATAATAAATCAATTAACAAAGAATAAAAATGAAACTGTGATTACAAGGATCAGAAAATATCAGTTTCGATAATTTTGCTTTTCATATCCCAAATTACAGCAAGAAAAATAATGACATTCCTAGACTTATGTTGTTCTCTATCCAAATAACACTTTTCGAAGTTTTAGATTTAGAAAAGCCACTCCTAAAAGCTCTATCGCTTATCCCAATATATGAAATGTTTTGAAGACAGAATGATCTTGATAAGCGCCATTTTTAAAATAGAATCGATAACATTTGTTGAAAAAATCGAAAAAATTATTCTCGTTATTTCATATAAATAAAATTAATTAAAGGAGAAAACATTAAAGCATTACAAAAAACATAAAACATTAAAGCACTCGAAATATTCAAGCACAGAAAAAAAAAAAACATACTTCAATATGATCCAAGAATTTGTCTTCATCAAGTATATAACTACCAAACTCTTCGTCATATTCGACATATAAATTATTCTCAACGATTTCTTTACCACAATTGATATAATCAAAGCCTGAAATTTCGAATTTAATTTCTCAACCAATAAATATATTGTCCCACATGTCACAGATAAACATACATTCATTAGCTTAGATCATTGCAAGATTAGTTTCAAATATATAATCGAAGTACCGCATTATTTTCGGAGCTAAGGTATTAAATCCTTCTTTACAATATGAATAGGTAAAAATATTAGAGAAAAAAAAGTTAATTGTTAATAACTTCTGTTTACGCAGGATCAAATAGTCTAAATTTACTTAAAATATTATTGAAAAGAAAAAACAGCAGCAAATTATGAAATTTATACTTACTTAATTTTTCTGACAATGTTTCACAAAGAGTAGTTTTCCCAGTACCAGGTGTACCAGTTATCAGAAGATTTGGCTTTTGACGAGTTTCAGATGTAGACATTATAATTACTGCTTAAAAATATTAAAAACAAAAATGTAGTTCCAGCAACAACAAATCTGAAACATTCAGAAGTTATATCAATGATGTTGGGAGTGAAAAGCTAGGCCATCATCAAAAGGAACACAAAAGAAATACAGCTTCATGACATCCAAGGTAAATATATCGCCTTAAAAACACAAAATATACTATTTTGAACAGTATGATTTATCTTGATGAAAGTTCGATAAACAAAACTCCTCATCCCAAAAAATCACGGAAGAAAATTTTGAAATAAAAAAAAAGGGTTGAATATTATACATCGTTCGGAAAAAAAGAAGCCGTTCGAAAAGAAAATAAACCGTTTTAAAGTAATCAATCGACAATTAAATAATGATTATGCAAAGTCTGAATTAGCAGTAAAAACAATCTAAAAATCTTAAGGCTCATTACAATAAACTTCCTGCGCAATAATAAAATAAATAAATTATGAACAAATATGACCAAAGTGTTGCATAATAGCACAAAGAAACAGCAATTCCTTAAACTGTGGCTTTTAAAAATATTTTACTCTACTATGGAAAATTAAAGAAAACTGAATAAAGCATAAATATTACAAAAATTTAAAAAGCCGATATTTTCTTTAAAATTAAGCATGAGTAGGTGCAAATTAAAAAAAAACCGGAAATCAGGGGAAAATAAAGATGATGACAATATAGAACTAGAGTCCAACTTTGCCAAGTTTTTTATCAGTTTTTGGATCAGCTGTTAGTTCTTGAACTGCAACGATAGCTTCATTAATCTCAGTTTGAACTTCACGCAAATTCTCTAGATGAATTAAGCGCAAAGCTCGTATAGCAGCATCAATGGTACCATTCTTACTGGATATCATGCCCATATCAAAACGGCTCAATGGCATTATTTTCTGTGAAACGAAAGTAAAATTAAAAAGATAGCGCGAAAATTAAATAACTGGTTTATTAATGCACTCGAAAACTATGAAATTACTACTAATGAAGTAATTAAATAAGCGAATAAGTTTTTTACGCGATTAAAGATCTGATAAACTGATTAGTTAATCAGTCATTTAGTAAGCTAATTGATGAAATGAAAGCTATCACCTTATCTCCTCACTCTATATCTTGGATCTTACCTTCTGATTTCGTGTCTCTTTGTTCGCTACCTGGATTGCTTCATCAGAAAGATTGTCCGTAATAAACTGAAATAGAGAGGTTTATTTCAAAAACTTGTTTCATTTTTGCTGTATTCATTAAATTTATTAAAAAGACAGGAAAGAACATAACCTTACAACAAGCTCTGAGAACAACTAAAGGGTCAGGATGTGCCGTTATACCCAAGGTGATCCTGAGATCTTCGATACCTTTTCTTGCTTCTTCTGTAGAGACTAAAAAAAGAAAAGTGTGTAGTTCAAAAATAACTAACTAGCAAATAAATGTTTTCGTTATATCCAATTTAAAGATGTCACAATAAGCAATTTTAGTTGTGATAATAAGTAAAAAATAAACATGGAAATTAAAAAAAAAAAAGAAGAAAGATATTATGACATAGTAATAATGGTAAAAGTACTGCAATATAACTAACCAAATTGTGATTTATTTTTCCTTTTTTACACAGAAAAATAAGATATTTTACTAAACATTAGCTAAATGTATGTTTTTAATTCTGCTTGGAAAAAAATCCAAAAGTTGTGAAATTATGTGAAACTTACAATCGATAGCACTGAGAGGATCGCTAGCCTTTTGTTGTTTTTCTTTCTCGGCTTTCCTTTGTATATAGTTATCTGCGGTAAGGTTCTTTCCTTCCGCTACAAGAAATTCAGAATACATTAAATTAATAACTAGGAAAAAACTGCATAAATCTCGGCAATCTGATCACTAAAATGATGCAATTCGCTAGTCTGGTGCAAATTAGATGAGAAGTATAAATCTTTTAACGCGGTCCCATACAACTACCAATTTTCCTACGACGAAAATATGCTAAAAAGCGAAAAAAAAAAAAAAAAACATGAATAAAGGAAGAGAGAAATTACGGAAGATGTCCCGATTAATCGCCAAATATTTGGTTGGAAACAGAATAAAACAAATAAAATAATTCAATTGTTAACTATTTTACAATGAACTGTCATTATCATATTATCTGATCAAATACTGATTACCAGTTTGTTGATAACAGGAATCTATCGCTCGAGTAAGAAGCCAATCGACTACTTCATGCACTCTGTCATAGGAAAGTGGACACTTCAAATCGGTCAAATACTGTAATGAGCAAAATAATGAAACTATAAGTGATTAAGGGAATTATTTTAAACCTTCCAAATGGAGTCGCGAATAAGATTTCAATTTTGATTTGGCATCTGATTTAATTTATTTAGCAGCATTTGCTTTGGTGAACGTTCTATCAATGCAACATAGCAAAGTTGACTAAAAATGTTGACACAGAACGAAATGTTATGCTACACTTCATCTTTACAACTCAGAATTTAACAAAAAAAAAAAAAAAAAAGTAAAAATAAAAGTAAGGAAACGAATTTGACATTTACATGTTAGCATTAGCAATTAAAGAATTGCTAACAGCAATAATCACTTCGTTATAAATATTTATTCCATCCATATTCAATATATGATGACTGTAACCATCTCTCTCCTTTACTTTGTAAGGACTATGTTGGCTTTCCACAAAAAAAAAAACAGCAATTAGATTTTAATCCAATGTTTTAATTTATAAATAATTTAAACCTGAAAAACGGAAATACCTTTGAGTAAGATTTATTCCATACTTCAACATCTGATGACTGTAACCCATCTCTATCCTCAATTTTATATAGCCTGATATGTTGATGTTCCAGAAATAACACTAATTCTTGTAACTGCTCAAAATCTGCAAAATACCAAAGAAACCTGCTAAATATTGTCGTAAAATGTTTGCAATACTCTCACTACTAGCATAAAAACTGCGGAAGAAAACAAAGAAATTACTTTCATAGTCGACCGTACTTGCAGGATATCCAAGTAGAAGCAATTTCTTCTGCGACATAATGAATTATCCTCGAAAGAGAATCGAAATAAAATTAAAAGAGAATGAGTTACCGACTTTGGAAGAAGAGAAGTAGGAAACAAATAAAATTAAATTTGAAATGATCTTCTCATTCTGTGCAATGTATAGTATTATGTTAAGAGAACAGCATTATAATAAGTAGAACACAAAGAATGAGGAATATTTATTCAATAAATTTACAATCCAGAAGTACCAACCTTAATGCTTGAAAAACCACTTAACTTTTTAGGAAAAAATGATTTCTCATTGAATTTTCTTATCGAGATAGAAGGAAATGAAGAAATATAATTAAAGACAAAAACATATGAAGCGTATGAAATCTAAAATTTAAAATATATCACTAAACACCAATATAAAAATGATATTACCAATATAAGACATTATCATGATAACACTAATATAAAAATTCTTACTACCATAAAGTAGAGTATTCTGTTTCTTCAAATTTATCAATTACAAAACCAAACTGTCGAAAAAATATTCACGAGCATATTTTATGTAGACTGAAAACGAAATGCAAATTTTTACATTACGGTAAATACACAAAGTTAAAACTTTAAATAATACTTTCTCTATTATTGCTAAATTTATATCCATTTACCATTATTACATGAAAAATTGTTTTGGCTCAGGAATAAGATTCGATTTACAGCAAATCAGTAATCTCAAACAATATTTCCCAACTGCCTAATAACAGATTGGATTGATCAACAGGATTTGCCTTATAGTAAACAAGATTGTTTCATTTAAAGAAATGTCGGAAAGTATGTATAGAAAAGTATAAAAAATTAATTTGCTTCGATAAGATTATTGACAAGTTTCACATTATAATTCCAATAATCTTTTCGTATTGGATCCAGCTCTTTCAATTGTTGGAGTACTTGCAATGCTTGTGCAGCATTCTCCTGAAATTACAAAAACGTTTATTTTCAAACTCACTCAAGACGTTTATCAATGATTTATACCACGATTCGGATGTTATGTCTCTTCCGGAATGTTCAAAACCAAGTCAAAATTTACTTTAACTTCCATTTTCTTCTCAATCCTTTCTATCAATATATCCACCATGAAACTAAGACAAAGTGGTACACGTTTCTGTTCGCTTAGTTCAAGGCAAAATTGCATTATATCCGCTCGAGAAGAAAATCCTTTCTGAAATATTGAATTTAGGATGGCTAAATGTAACATTTCAAAGTTTTTTTTTAAATATATATCAGACATACTTCTGTTTTTACTAGTAACCACTAACACTTACATTTTGGAAAATCAGTCAGATTAAGCTCATAATGATAAATATTAATCGAAAGTGCTAATTAATTATTATTTAATTTATTAAAAAATTTCATAAAAAAAGATTGGGCCAATTAAAAAAAAGAAACGCACATCAAGTAATATTCCAGACAAGAAATTCCATGCGCTCTCATTATTTGGAATTTTTCTGATCATAGACTGAGTCATTAAAATTTCTCGATTTAAAACGGTGGGATCCTTAAAAACAAGAGAAAAGATTACAACAACACTCAACTGAAGTGAACCATTTGCAACGTAAAATCCATAAATAAATCAGAAGATGGTTGAAAATTCTACACAAGGATTCTAACTGAAAACACCTTTAATGTATCCAATCCTTGAAGTATAAAATACCGGTAGTTCCAGGCCGAATTATTACGCATGTCTTCGATCAAAAGTCCTGCGCTATAATTCAATTCTTGCTGACTGAATAATTTGAATTTTTCAACGACCCATTGACGATGCTGCCATGAATGGTAGTTTTTGGCTTCATCTTCAATCATTCGCGCTGTGAAATCAAGCTCTCGACTGGCATCATTTGTCCATTCCACTAGTGTTCGACGATGATGCCAGACTTAACAGTATCAATTATCCATAAACAGAAACATTATGAAGTCAAAAATCATAACAACATTAGTAAAAGTATTACATTTTATATTAAATTAAAATGAAACAATATAAGTGTTCGAGAGCAACACTAACCCTGATAATTCTTAGGATTTTCTTCAATCACTTCAGCAATGAAGTTGAATTCCTCATTCAGATCTTTATTCAGTGCTTTCAGAAGAGAACGACGATATTGCCAGAGAGTATAATTAGCAGGGTTCAAATCAATACATCTGCAAAATCATTTGAAGTAAATTTCAACAAATCCATTGCCAAAATTTCAATATTTTAAATATGGACTTGTTATTCAAATAAATTTTCTACTTCTGTATGAGGGCTTCTGAGTAGTCCAAGAAAGTTTCTCAGCGTCTTAAGAGATTAATTCTACTGTAATGATATGTAAAAGATAAAAAGCTGCAACTTGGTGCTTGTTTTCCAGTACATAAACAACACAAAAATCTCTACGATACCAAGCAATAAATAACTTCAACTTACTGCATGCAACAATAAATTAAACTCACTTAACAGTTAATTTAAATGCACGTTCTGACATTTCATTACTGAGTACAACAGCTCGTAGATACATAAATGCATCATTAAAAGCATCACTAGTTTCAATCCGAACAGCTGCTTGTTCATCATCTGTGAGTGGAATAGGGTGAACATCATCCCATTCTGGATCATCCCGATATCGCTGAAATTCGGGACCATTTTTTACTGCTTAATGAAGAAATTGTAAAAAAAGTTAATCTTAGTTGAAACTTTAATTTATAAATGTTATCACCTCAGCCTGATAGTACTCATTATTCTAATAAAGAATTTCGAAGTTTAATTTTGTGACCAAGTAATATCAGTCATCTGAACACACAAAACTCTACCATAAAACAGAATGTAAATTTCGAAAACCTTAAGTGTATCATCAGTTACATACCCATTTTTATACTAGAATAAACTTCTACATACCTCAAGTTTGTCCATAATTCCAGAATTATAACATTGATTCAGCTGCAACTTCTTGAATGAAAGAAATCAAGTGGAAACAAATGACATAATTTGAAGTTAGAATTAGTCATAACATTTTTAGTTTCAAAATTTGACTAATGAAATGACAACGATTGAAACGTACTTTACTAAGCAGAAATTGCAATATATTTTATCAACGTAGATAATTTGTAAGCATTAAAAAAACATTCATGAAACAACATGATGCAGAAGAATTCTCCCTGGAACCATTGTCAAATATAATAAAGTTCATTTCTCTAAAATTGATTTTGATTCATTAAAGGTTAATTTTAATTCTAAACTTTTATGTGTGAAACCGAAGCATGTTTAGTAATAAAAAGTTGGAATAAATAAACTGCAAATTTCAACACTAATACATGTGTAATTTAAACACATATACTTTAAAATCTGTTAAAAAGCGTACTGAAAATCCAAAAAAGTGCCGCTACAAACAGTTGCTGGTCAACATATAAACCATACAAAAATAACAGTTACTAAGTACAATAATAACATTAACGTCAGTATTTAATGTTTGTTGGTTAAGCAATGCATCGTGAAAGACAAGAATACTTACCATAAATAACAATTATTAATATCATGACATAATATCACTATTACTGCAGCCGTCAGCAAAGACTTTTAGCATTTTTGTACGAATTTTTTCTTGCTTCAATTCCAAAGCATCACATGTAGGCCGCTTTTTAATAGGTACATATGTTTTGGTAGAAGTTCCATTCGGCCTCAGATAGTCATTTAAACCGCTATAGTCATTTTGTAACACTGGTGCAAGTAAACCGATGCTTTCAGCCATAATTTGTAATGTCGCTGACCTGAAATTATTCCAGCCACTTCTATAGCTTTTGATTTTCCGCCCAAATGTATGTCAGTTTTCTTCAACTTTGGAAATAAAAGAAAACCAATCATTGATCTGAAGCGATTTATATCGTTCTTGCACAGTTTATTGTTATAGTAAATAGCAGCACTATGAACTGCTTGCAGGTGTCAAATACAACAAGCACTGTGCAAGGAAAGATTTATAATGTTTCTTGTAGTATTTATCAAAGCTAATGAAGTATTGGAAATAAAACAAATAATTGTGATGAAAACCTACAGAGACTGGTAATGAGCCCAGGTTTTCAGGACAAGTTTTCTGATAGATTTCAGTGAATTAATATCCCATCTCCAAGGAAGCTCCGAACCTTCATATGAGCAATCAAATAAACATAACGGAAATGCCGGAGCTAATCCATAAATTGGTTTTGACGGCATAAGTCTGATATCGAGAAGTTCAGTGATAATCTGCAAACAGAGTTGAGAAAATAACACTATTGCATAACTGTTCAACTTTTGTATTTAACTACCGTTTACATCCGGTCATTTTTAAAGCCAACAGCATAAAATAAGGTTTTTATAAATGATTACTGATTAAAACTCACGGTTCCTTTTTACTGCTTTCAAAATATTATTAAACCAAGACTTACATCTGGTTTCTCATTACCGAGGCCAATTTCACAAAGCAAAGCCATTATACAGCGAATCTGATGCCAAAGAAAACCTTTTCCCTTGATAGTAAGTTGTAGGAACTCATAATGAGTAGCTTTATCGTTTAGCCTCATCGATGATGACATTGAATTATTTCTTAAAAAAGAATTCTTACTTCTAAATTTGTTATTCTTAATGCAAAAATCAAAAACCAGAAAAATAAAATGAACTCTGAATATGTCTTATGTTTGCACACTAATCTTTAAATAGTTCCTTTCTTATTCCAAAGACCATTAAAACTATACGATATGAATGATATATCAGCATAGGTGATGGTGCGAATATAATTCATTTCCACTCGTTTCTTGTTCATATCGATGCGACAGAAATTACGAAAATCGTGTTCGCCAACAAGAAATTGACAAGCTTGCCGCATTGCCTACAAACTATAAATAAGAAAAAACCTAAGTCTCACTAAAAATTTCAGAAATATATATCTGAAAATTTTACAAATTGTTTTAAAAAATAGAAGTAACTGAGTCAAGGAAAAATCACAAAGATTTTAATTCGAAAAACTGACCTAATTAAATGAATCATTATACGAATCAAAAATGATATTGCTCGAAAGTTTTTTAAAAAATAACCTCAATATTAAAATTGGTTCTTGGAAAAGCATACGTGTAAGTACGCTGGGTGCAATTATATCTGGCGCTGAAATTTCGAGGAACTGGAGCCCAAGCTAACACCCGAATATTAGTTGGTAATGTACTATTTAACATTTTTACGTACTGAAGTTCTCCTTTCATAGCAGTTTCAGAAGATGCATGAGCGACATTAGGCCAGAAAACACCTTCGCCTTCCGGTTCATTGGACCTTAAATTTGGAGAATAAACAGGCAAATTAATGTATGACAAATCATTTTATCTTTTTTCTGAACTAAGGCAAGATCGAAAAAAAAACTTGTTACTGAAATAAGGGATCAAATAATTTGGAGGCTGAACTCTACTATTAAAAAAATAACAGAAACAAACCTTACAATGACAGAAGCAACCTGTTTAAAAGCAGATACTCCCTTATCAGTCCGACCACTTCGATTCCAACTGCAGTTTTCCCAATTTTCGACGAGTTTTGTCTTTATCAAAGCCTTCCTCATTTCTTCCTCAACCTGTAAACTTTGAATTAAATATTTCTAAACTTTCTCACACATTATTATGACATTTTCTGCAAATCGAAAATAGACACAATTTCATCTGGAAGGTTTGATTTGTCTATTTTAATATTAAGTAAATATATAACAGCAAGGTTAATCATGCGCCACTAAGAACAAACACTAAAAAGTGAGAATTAAAAAAATTGAAAGCACATAAAGTCTTCCGGATCTACTTTACTAACTAACGATACCCTACAGAAGATTAAAAAATAACAAGATTAAAATAATCAAGCGACGACTGGTCTAACAGCACCGCAAACACAATCATTTTTTCAATGATGACTTATGATATATCAAATTAATCAAATAATATACTTTCGAACTTCATGAACTGTCATTATAAATTGACAGAAATAGCAATTCAGTGTTATTTGATCAAACTCACATAATTCAGCATAAGTAAATGTCTTCAGCAAAGGAAATACAACTTACAGTTCTAGCAATTTCTCGCTGTTCAACCAGTCCATTATATTCCCAACCAAAGTACATAAACATTAGAGCAATCCGTCGTTTTGGATGCTGCGAAAAATCAAATTCACGTTTTTTCTTCACTTTTTTATTGTTCGATAAAGAACCAATGTTTGTTGCTTCATCCATATCGTTAGCTGCAATCTAAAAGTATGAAAGTGCTAGTTAACTACTGGGAAGAGATAACAGAATAGTTCATTTCAATTTTTTAGCTGAAGATTTAAATGCTTGTCTTTCTGCTTTCCTCATTATTCACCCACTTGATTGTTTTATTAAATTTTTAAAATAACGTGTGATATATCACATCAATCTAATAATATACTTTCGAGCAATTCAATGGTTACTTGATCAAATTCACATAATATAGCATAAGTAAAATATATTTGGATGTCTGAATAATAAATCTCTAGGATCTTATAGTTTAAAATTTGATATTACTTGGAATGTTTCTACTTATTAAATCTAAAATAAAAAACAGATTAAATTAGTAAAGCCATTTATTTCTACAATCTATGAAAGCGCAGTACATTTACACATTGTTATGAAAACTTTAAGATATATTTTTAAAGGAAAATAAATAATAATGGCAAAGAAAATGGATAAGAAGAAATAGCACGTGAAATTAAGATGAAATAAAGATTGATAAGATTTTACAAGAAAGTGAGTGAATAAATGATAACGAATGGTTACGAGAGAAAAAGAGACTTACAACAATGCATAGACAATACCTGTGTATTGGTTTGAATTGAATATACAAACCAGGTGGTTTGATTGGTGGTCCATTGTCTCTGAGAAGGTTAATGGAATTAAAGTAATTAAAGCAGTAATAACAAGTATAATTGAGTAAGTAATGCTAGTGCTTATGTGCATAAAAGTTAATAAGTAAATGTATTATACAAATTATTAGCAAAACTTTGGAATTTTTAACTTTTGAATTGCTTTTTTTTTTGTACATTATTTTGTTATAAATTTTGCAGAGCCAAAGAAAACAACAATAATTTCATTTTTTTTTCCTTTCAAAAGATCTATCAACCACTACCTTATTTTTGTCAAATTTAACCTTAGAAAATATTTCAACACTGTACCAGCAGTTAATATACAAATAATGTTCCTTCAATTTCAACTAAATTATTTCATATAATTTTTATTTACAAGTTAGTTTGTTTATTGTTTACATGTAGCATAAGCAAAAATACATTAAAACATTGGGGAACTTTTTATTAGTTTTGGAATTAAACTTCAAAAAATGATACATGCTAGCTTAGAACTAACACATGTAGCTATATTCAGAATTAACTATCAAATATGATGTTATGTTAATTTCCGTATTATTGAAAAGTTCGAAATGGATTATATGGCTTTTAATCGAATTTTCGCAACTATACTTTTCAATCTTTTTTTTTGGATTTTTTGGCAAATGAGAAGTTTTTGATAAAGATTTCATGATAAGTTTGAATTAAATTTTTTAGTTTAGTCTGAATTTAAGCTTTGATAAATAGAAAAAATCAGTCACCGTGGTCAAGGTAATTGGAAAAGTATTTATTTCAAGATAAGTAGTCGAGACATTGTCAAACATCGATGAAACATAAATTTGTTGCTTTTATAAATTTAAAAGCAATGCTAGTTACTGGTCACTAATCATTTTAGCGAGCATTTTTCATGATTTTATAAAGCAATTGCTGCGATATCATATAAAAATTCCATGAAAAAAGATAGAAAAAGAGTTTACAACTAGAAAATCAAATTCTAAAATCAAAAAGAAATGAATAATTACAGAAAAAAGAGTATTCATCATTCTATTAATGAAAATATAAAATGGACTTTCAGATACAATCAAAATTGTTCCTAAACCCATTCAATTATTTCTTCCCAATAAATCGAACAGGACTAAATCTTCATTTCAATAATTTTCTAATTTTCTCCTCATTTTAATCATATTTCACCTCTGTTACTTACTTACTAAATTGAATTTCATAAAACCAAAGGTCATCATGCTAAAAACACTCCAAATAATTTGCTAATTGATTAAAATCATTGAGCGCACTTTTCATCTGCGCATGGAATGAATCTATCCAAGATTTAAACATTTCAATGAATTCACGATATTCTGAGAAAGAAGTTATTTTTGGAAATAGAACATAATGCTAAATTGGAATTTGGGAGCATTGGCGGAATAGCAGTTCAACAGTGATAATTTTAAATTTGAATGATAAGAAATTTCCTCTTTTGTTTTCTTTACTATTTATTCTCGATTATATACTACCTTATTCAATTATGGCTTATGATTTAGCCAATTATCTTTATTGGCTATTTTATGGTATTTCATGAAATTTGAATTGATTCAATGAACTATCATAAAAAATACTGCTATTATTTCAAGATTTGTAAGAATTCAATACTTGAATAGTGTTGATTTGTAATTTAATATCACCTAGCAACGATAATAATTGCAGTAGATTTTTAAGGAGACACAGGCGGAAGGTGAAATTGTCGAAGTGTCAGCGGAATTTCATATTTTGGATTAGTAAATTCATATTGAGAATGAAATTATTAGCAAAGGAAGATTTAGATGATTAATATTGATAATGTAGAATTTGAGGAAATGGATGAAAAATAATAAATTTTCGGATAATTTTTGGTAATACTTTGCAGTAACAGAAAATATTCCGGAAACGGTCAATTTGTTTGTCATTGAACGACTTTCTTGCAAAGCATTTTCGAATAAAACTAATTAATCGGAAAAACTCTGTGCAACGAAGTTTAACATGCAATTGATCGAACATTGATCGACAGGTATCACAATATTCATTAATATTTGTTTCATATTAGCTAATCAATCTATTGCCAATTAATTAATTTCCAATATTCTATTATTAGTTAATACCTGAAATTCTAAAAATATTCATTAATATTTGTTTCATATTAGCTAATTAATTTATTGCAAATTAATTAATTTCTAATATTTTACGATTAATTTAATTAATCAGAATTCTAAGTTCCTATTTGCAACATTAAATTCAACATAAAAATGCTTCCCATTTATTCTGTCATACAAAATATGATAATTTGAAATAAAAATTGGAAATGAAATACTTCTAGTTGTACTTCTTAATCATAGCCAATTAGTACCACTCATATTTATATCATTTTAAATTGCCTTCAATAATCACTGATTAACACAAATATCAATCTGTTCACGTTGGATTATTTATTACACAACGCAAATTTCTTTTCTTCACTGATTTGTAATCTTCTGACCATCTGATTGATTGATCGGTTGATTGATTAATCTATTGATCGGTTGATTAGTTGACTGATTGATTGGTGATTAAGAATGGATATTCTGATTTTATCATATCTAAATATGTGAAGCGTACATGAAAAGACCAAACAATTTGTTTTTTAAACTTTGTTATTTACATTATAATTCATTTATCATCTTTTTTTATAAAACGGATACCAATGAACATTCTTACCTGTCGCTGTTTAATTTTTTATTATTATTATTAATCAGTTTTTGTCGAGAACATTCTGGAAGAGACTGTCCCAATGACTAATAAATTAAAGGTTTCCAGAATTACTTCTGCTATTACAATGATATTATCCATGTTTAATCACCTAAAAGTACATTTATTTTTCATCATTTTCTTTAAATTAATTTATCAACAAACTAACATTCATCTCTAAAGCTAATTTATAAATCCAAACTATGACATTTCGTTGACGCTTCCATAACTTTGCTTCTCGAAAAAAAAAAAAAAAAAAAATCAAATTCCCATAGCGAATACTAATTAGAAAAAAGAAAAACCATACCTAAAGAGATAAGATTAATTAATTAATTAACTAATTAATCAATTCTTTGTAATGAAAGGAAATCATTGCTATCATTTTATAGCTAATCAATGAAATGAGTTAAACAAGTAATATCTTATCTTCATGGTTGTGCTATAAGTACTGCTTTAATAATGGATATTGACAAAGACTCTAAATTCAATCAAAATATCAAAGGATTTCTTTAAGGTATATTCTGGGAACTGTAATTTATCTTTAGCTCAAGTCTAACTGATATAAACAAAAAGCTTTTTTTACGTAAAAACTTTACTTTTACTATAAATTCCTTAATTTTAAATTATAAGCAGAATAGCTAATTGATAAATTAGCCTATTCAATTCTGTCTTGGCTCTTTTCACTACTCATATTAAAAGCATAAGATTGCTCCCAAATTCATTGTTTCTAATTATTGTTGTTGATATTCCTAAAAAATATCTGTCCTGAAATTCATCCAAACAATTAAGCCTTTGAAATTGTATTTCCTTTTCTACTCTCTCACTAATTCTTTTTTCATCAAAAGCTTTGCGAATTAATTGTTTTCATCATTGAACGCAAATTCAGATCCATTTGTTTTCAAAACTTTTTGCTTATGAAAATTCCTTTCAAAATAGGAATCGATGAGAGTATCAGTAATAGTAACTGAGTTTCTCTTCGAGAATCTCGAGAACTCGGCAAAATTCATCTAATTCGATTTTACAAATAGAATCCAGCAAAATGTCATAAGCACCTGGTATCAGTAACTGAGTTACCATCATTAGACCGTAGCTCTGAGAATTTGTATGATTCACCAGTTTATTAAATTCAATCTATCAAGATTAATTAATTAATTAACTAATTAATCAATTCTTTGTAATGGATTCAATCTATCAATTTTAAACATTCCAGCTTGATTATTAGTCAGAGTTAGTTGCTAATATTATCGTTGCTAACGTTTCTGTTATCATTCTTTTATCAAATGATTATCATTTTAGATATATCCATTGATTATATCATTATTTGCTTTGTTGTAATGAGATTTAAATGGATTTGAATTCTTTTTTTTTTTCAGTGAAATGAACACATAATTAAATACATATATATATTATTGGTTGTCTACTTAATTAAAGTAATTAATTAGTCTCATAACTATTTGAAAAAAAGATTTATGATTTATGGAAATGCTTCTTTGATTTAATATTACTGCAAAAGCATTGAATTTGAGATCGATGCGAACTCATTCTCAAAAGGTATGTAACATTTATACTCAAATAATATACAAATAAATTAAGAAATTTTGAGATATTTAAATTATAATTGTATTTCTCAGATTTTTTTTTTTTGAAAATTTTTCTTTATGATTGTAACAAATTGGAAAATTAATTTTTTGTAGCTTCGTGCTGCAGCTGTACACATTGGTATTATTAGTGGTACAATAACTTATGTTTGCATTGGTGCAATTTTATTTTTGTATGTTGAACGACCGATCGAAATTAGATCACGTCAATATCATCTTAAAACTTATGAAAAAATTAAATCTGTATGTAAATTTGTATGAAATTCTCTAATTTTACTCAATAAACTTTATTCTAAAATTGTTAACATTTTTCAGTTATTAATGTTATTAAGCAGATGTAATTTTAAAATTACTTAAAAATTAGCTTTTTTAAAATTTTAATATTTTAATAAAAATTACAAATGCATTCAAAGCTGATGAAAAATTAAAATTGCAGAAATTTCTGCATGCAGTGGTAGCGGATAATTTGACAGAAAATGATTTATATATTATAAGTGCTAATTACATTGAGGAATTGTTTGATTTCTACAAAGATTCACAAGTAATTTTAAATTCTTTAAAGAAAAATTTAATTTTAAAATTTAATTTTTTTTTTTAAATTGTTTAATATTTGAATTTTTGGAGATTTTGTAAATCTTTTATATACTCAATTTTTTTTTGCAACTATTTTATTAAAATTTCGTTATAAAAAAAAAAAAAAAATAATGAAATTGTTGAATTATTGAATGCATTCGTTTTTATTTGAAATGAAATATAATTTTAAAGTTAGAATTTGATATTTTCTGAATTTTGCTAAAAAGTTTTCATTTTTTAGCAAATTATTTAAATGGATAGCTATATTAATGAATTATCATATGCTTTTTACTAGCATTTTAAAAGATATTTAAAGCTATACAAATAAGATCAAAGAATAGTGTAGCTAACAAATAACTAATTATACTTAATTGTTTGAAAGTTATCTTTGAGTAAAATCATTGATCTTCCATTTTTCAATAATTTTTAGAGCGAAGTAAATTCAACTTCTGAATTATCTGTCATAATTTTAAGCAAAAAAAAGAAAATAGTCATAAATGGATGAACAAAATTAATTGATGGCTTAATTAACAATTGAAAATAAACAAAATCAAAGATTCCATATGATTGGAAGTCAAGAAATTACCTTAGCATTTCACTTTATTCATGAATAATTGAATATTACTCCTTTGATTATTCTAGAAATTAAAATTTTTTTAAATTCAATTGATTTTAGAATTAAAGTTTTTGAAGTATAATGCAAAATTAGGAAAAAACAACGACTAAGGATAATGTGAAAAGTTAGAATTATTAAAAATTTCAATTATTGCATATTATTTAACATATCATAATAACAAAAGTAATGAAAGTTTAAGCAAAGTAAATTTCATTATGATTGTTACTGCTAATAATTGAATATAATTAATTATGAATTTAAAAAAAAAAAAATGAATTATATTATAACTTTTAGGCAGCTCGAGTATTTGAAGCATATTATTTAAATGATAGATTAAAGGAAGATCAATGGACTATAGCTTCATCTATACTCTTTGCTGCTACTACTGTTATTCCTGTTGGTAAGAATAAATAAACATTTTATTTGTTATTAAATAGTAATTTTGTTTTTTTTTTGATTTAAAATTAAATTATTAAAAATTCAACAATTAATTTTCATCAATAATAACTGAACAAATTTATTTATTTGATAGCTAGCTAAATGAATATATATTATTGTAACTGTAAACATTTAACAATAAATGTTTAGGTTATGGTTTTGTTACACCAATTTCTAAGGTAGGACGATTTATTGTTATTATTTATGCTCTTATTGGTGCACCATTGGTACTTGTTACAATAAGTGATATTGGTAAATTTATTAGTTTTTATTTCATGCGCTTTCTTCCTGAGGTATTCACTTATTATATTAATTTAATTTAAACAATTTAATTTTTTTTTTTTTACATCAATTTAATCATACTTAATTAGCATAAGAAAACATATGCAATAAGCGCATTGTTTTTATAAACAATAAAGTAAACTTAAGCGCAATATTAATGTTAATTGCATGCTTTATAAAGTTATGAAAAAACTAATATTTCTTCAATTGACCAGTGATCGGTGACCAATGACCAATGACCAACGTTGCTTTCAAATTTATAAAAGTATGCATATTGCAGTCAGTAACAGGTTTATGTTTTCTTGGATTTCTGATAATTTATTTATTTATTGGAGCTTTGCTATTTTCATTGTTTGCCCGAATTACTTACCTTGAAGCGACATACTTCTCCATCACATCCGTTTTTACAATCGGTTACGGTGATACAGAAGCAAGTTTCTTATCCTTTTTTTTTTTAAAAAAATTATTTATTTGCACATTTTATAAAATGTAAACTAGTCGCTAGCAATTTCTATTTTGTATTTTAAATATATTATAATTTTCCATATAAATATATATAAGATACAAATATTTGTTGTCACTGTTTGTCAACAAAAAATCAAGAAATCTTAGTATTGGAAAAAAAAATTCTACAATTTTTTCCACAAGAAAGCAATGCTAAGCTTTCCGTATGTTCATTCCGGATATTAAGTTACTCTTTTTACAACTGTTAAATAATTTGAAAGCGTAAAATGCTATGTTTTGATATTTCCGGAAAATTTTTAGCATTCCATTTTTTCTTTTTACTGAATACATCTCGAATAATTCCTTTCACCTGAATTAGCTATAATTTTTTTTTTTCTCACCGGAAAAAATCACTAAAAGATGAAGCGTAATTGCTAAATCTTTGATTTGTCAACCTAACTGTAATCACGACATATTCTCGAAGTAAATGCGACAAAGCTTTCAAGAATGCTTGACACTTTTCACTTCACTGATTTTCATATTTTCTCTACGGATTAGTGAGCATAATAAAATGCATAAAAATGTTTTTTTATAGCCATTATTTGGCAATTTTTTGGAGCAAAAAATAAACAAAACTCTAAAATTAGAAATCGGTGTAGTACTAAAAAAATATAATTAATATAATTTGCAATGCTTTGATCAGTTGTAATTGATCGAAAACATAAACAAAATCGTTAATTATGCAAAATTTGTTAATGATAATTAAGAATATTGCATCATATGTTTCATTAATTTATAATTGTTTGAATTATTTGAATTTGCAATTAATTTACTCAACTATTTGAATTTGGAATTAATTAATTCAATTATTTGAATTTACAATTAATTTACTCAACAATTTGAATTTAGAACTAATTAATTCAATTATTTGAATTTACAATTAATTTACAATTATTTGAACACAAACATTTTAAACTGTTACAAAAATTCTGATCAAACTCTGAGTCATAATCAATTTGAAATGAAAATAAATTTTGTAATGAAATTTAATTTAGCCACCAGTTCCTGTGCCATATCTCATTTTATATATTATAATTGGTGTAATACTAGTAACAATAGCAGTAGAGGTATTGGCTGCTGAAATAATTAATCATATTCATTATATGGGTCGTCATGTTAGTAAGGCAAGAAAAATCACTCGAAAATTTTATAAGGTTTATTTCAATTTCTGTACTTTTTTTTTTTTAATTTAAAAAAATTTTGAAAAAGCAAAATATTTTGTTTTTGTTTTTTTTTTTGTTTTTCATTAAGAAAATTTTATAAGATATTTTATGTATTATTTTATTGAGAAAAAACAAGAAATAAGATAACATGAATAAAGATACTTTAAAGTAAATCAAAAATTTTAAAAGGTAAAGGAAAAATTGGCATTTCAAAAATGTATTTTTTATATGAAATATGATTATTATTAAACTTTTTGATGAGTTATTTGTTACTTAAAATTTTGAATTTAATTATCAAAGTCATTAAAATATTACTCTTAGAATTATTTTCAATTTGACTTACCTAAAAATACTAACTTTTAAAATTGTAGATGGCACGTGCAATGGACGTACGTCGTGGTTTCAACAGTGGTTTAATGCAAATCGAATCATTTATTCGTTTTGGTTTAATATTTGGAATGATGAAAACAGATTCAAATGACGAGCAAAACGTATTGACACCTTGTAACATTAATTCAACTTTTGAGCCAACAAATGATGATATCAAATTCGCTGATGATGACGTATCAGATAGACCTTTACACGTGGATCGAGAAAGACGTCAATTCAAATGACGTGAAGACTAGTAGAATATTATGGTACCTCTTGTACGTGATTTCAGTTTGAAGGGAGGAATCACGCAGCCTAATAAACTCGTCATGCGCCTCTATTGACTAAGTTAGCATAAATATTTTGCTAACTATTTTTATATGATAAGTAAAGTTTCATACCTTATTTTGAATTGACGTCTTTCTTTCATACCTGAATTGACGAGTAAAACGGATGACCTTTCCCCTTTCTCTTCACACCTGTAAATTCCGTTTATGAATTCCTAGCAGCTTTTGTGATATTTATTTTGTGCATATTGCAATAGAAACTTATAAATAAAACGTTTAATTTAATCCAATTTTTTCTTCGTTTTCACTTTCATATCGTTTTGTTCATCAGAAGAAATAGTTTCTCCGACAAAATTTTTTTTTGTGTTTCATGAAGATATCCAGATGAAGCAATTGTTGTGTCATGAAAGTGATTTACAATCACAAATTTTCTGGAAAAACTTTGTGATGCAAACTAGATGATTCGCAGGTATAATGACCATCGGTCATCTCAGTACTTGGTATAATGACCATCGATCCTCTCAATTCTCGGTATAATGACCATCATTCCTCTCAATACTCGGTGTAATGACCATCATTCCTCTCAATACTCGGTATAATAACCATCGATCCTCTCAATACTCGGTATAATGACCATCGATCCTCTCAATTCTCGGTATAATAACCATCGATTTTCTCAATTCTCGGTATAATGACCATCAATCCTCTCAATACTCGGTATAATGACCATCGATCCTCTCAATTCTCGGTATAATAACCATCGATCCTCTCAATTCTCGGTATAATAACCATCGATCCTCTCAATTCTCGGTATAATGACCATCGATTCTTTCAATTCTCGATATAATGACCATCAATCCTCTCAATACTCGGTATAATAACCATCGATCCTCTCAATACTCGGTATAATGACCATCGATCCTCTCAACTCATTCGTTTTATTTGGTGGATAACTTCAGATGCTGCTACATAATTTGTCATAAATTGTAATATTTGACCTATACTCCGATGACCATCAAATTTGCAATGACAGATCGGTCATTCTATCAAAGATCACTGCAACAAACAATAATTTTACTTTGCTAGTAATTACTAGAATACAAATACATAAAAGAAATATCAGCAATTAGCAAAAATAATTTTTCAATTCGTAAGTTTTATCACTAAGTCTCATTTCTAACAAATAACTGAATAAATATGCTAATCACTGAACAATTTATATTATTATTTCTTTTAGATAGCCAAAAGCGCTTCTATTAAATTACATTTTGACATTATTCCGTATCTAATATTTCTGATTTATTTTATAAAATTTAATATTTCAATTTCATTATATAAAATCCAAATTATTAATCAACTATTAAATTATCCTACTTAAAAAAAAAAACTTTTTTGAAAAAAAATATATCATTCAAAAGTGTATTTTCAGGAATTTATTATTTGAAAGAAAAGTTTGATTAAATTTAATTTTATGTCAACAATACGATCAGTTTAGTTTATTCCTGCATAAAGCAGAATTAAGCAATCATCATTGCTAATAAACATTGTCACCTTGTCATCATTTTGGACTAAACTTTTTTATTTTCAACTAATGTTCTTCTTCTTCTCTCTTTAATATTCATTTGAAAATCAATTTTATATTCTTTTTAAAATTTATCACTGATAACGGAAAAAATAAAATCAGTCAATTCGTTTTTAAAATTTATGTTTTTAAAATTATTTTCCTTTTCTTTCATTGCAATAGCAAATTGTTGTTTAATTCGAAAATTTATTTTGTAAAGTTTTTCACTTTCTCAGTTTTGTTAGCAATTTTTTTTTAATCTAAATAAAGATTTCTAAATGTAAAACAAATTATAAAATCAATTAGTAATAGAAATAACCTGAAATATTTTAAATTTAATTAATTAATGAATATTTTAATTATATATTTAACTCTAATTGCAAATGCTAAAAAAAGTAAAAATGGTGGTTAGATATGACATTATAAACTAAAAGGTTATGCTGAGTAAAATTAATTTTAATTTAAGGAAAACACAGAATTGAAATATTTTGCAGTATGATTTTCAAAATGCTGTGATAGAAATTTTATATAGAACTACAATTTTTATATTTATTTTACTAGTAGATATTTCAGATTATCACTTATTATATTTTAATTAAAAGTAAGAAAATGATAAAAAAATTTAACTGAAAAACTCTGTCTCAGCTTTAAAAAATATTTTATTGAAAACTGAATTTTACCCAATTTAATTTTCAAGTGAATTTCTTCATTCATTGTTGAAGAAATTATCATTTTACTGAAAAATATTCATAAATCATTATTTAAAGGATTATTTTTTTTTTTTTGTCCAAAAAATTGCAAAATTTTTTTCACATTTAAAAATTATATTTTCTCTTTGATAGAACCTTTAAAATTTGAAATTATTTCTTTTTGAACTGTCAAATTATCATTCAATTTAACCGACAAATTGAAAAAAATTCTTCTTCAACTAAGGTAAATTTATTTATTAAAATAGCAAAGTTTGAAAAAAAAAAAACTTTTAGGAAAAAATAAAAGAAATTGAAATGAAAAACTCAAATGTATCTAAAACGATTTACTATTCTTCAAGTTACTTAAAAAATAAAATATTTAAATTACTGTTATTTTTGCATTCTGCTACAGTATTAGCTTACAACCACTTGTCATTTGTCATCTTAATTGTCAAAGAATTTGTCCAACTAATATCACAATTATTGGAATTTCAATTTCTAGAACTTTTGTCTACTTTAGATGACTTTTTATAAAGTTCAATTTTAAAATCTCTTCAGAAATCGTTTTATTTTTTAAATTTTATTTTTCCAAAAAGTATTTATTTGAATAACAATCGATCATAATTGATCTTTGAAGCGATCGATCTATTCACTTAAAATTTTGCCTAATCAAACAGAAAAAAAGAATCAATGGGTATCATTGATCAATTAAATTTATTTTTGATAATCATTTCTTAGCAGATTTTTGCAAAGTATAATTTCATATCAATAAAATAAAAAAGTTAACTAAAATTTTCTTTTTTTTACATATTATTTTTGAATTTTGTAAATAATTCTAAAATTTTCTATGGAAAATATTCTGTTAAAATTTTGCTTTGTTGTAAATTTTTTGTCATCAATTCTCGTTTTTTGAATTAAATTATTTTTGAACTAATTTATTATTAAATTTCAAATAATTACATACTAATTTAATTAGAGCAAAAATTTACTTATAACATAAAAGAAATAAATATTAGATTTGAACTTGTATATTAAATTTTTACGATTTTAATAAAATTATAGATCAAAGAACGGATAGCAAAACTATACAAAAATTTTGCTAACCAAATTTGATTCGAGTTCAAACAATCTTTGGTTTAAACAATCGTTGTCTCAAATGCTATGGCATGGATATATTTCTCATAGTAGTTTTTTGCTCTTTTAAATGCGAACAAATTTTATTTTATTTTATTTCTAAAAAGTAATTAACTCATTTTATTGAAATTAATTTATTTTCTACTCCAAATCGATAATACTTTCTTACATTTTAAACTTTTTATTTATTTCTTTTTTTTTGTCAAAGTGGTAAATTAATAATATTAATTAAGGTAAGTTTGTCATTAGCAGTTTAATTTATATTTGAATAATACTATAATCGACAATGAAATTTCGAGAAAAAAAATTATGTTTGTTGGAAAACATTTGTTTTTTTTTTCTTTCAAATTTTAAAAATAAAAATTTAATGATTTTTTTTTTTTTTGTTGAATTTATTTTATGATAAATTTGAAAGCAGCAGAAGAAAGGAGGAATATTTTGTTATTAGTATGTATTATGTAATTAATTAATTAATTAATTAATTAACAATACAATTTGCATATTGTATTTTTGGAGAATTTAGTTCAGTTTTGTTGATATAACTAATATTTTTCAATAAGTTAGAAAAGAAATTGTTCGTATATTTTATGATCGGTATTTGCCTCCCTGATACAGTGACATCAATAATTGTAGTATAGGAAATTGATGGGATAGATGGTGACAACAGAGACAGAGGGATGGTTAGAAAATTTGAAGGTATATTGAGAGAGAGAGAGGTATACAGCAAAATAGAAATTACTATTGAAGTTAAATGATTGAGTTGACAATTTGAGGGAATTTCCAAATTTCCATTCAATAATATCAAGTTAAAATACCAGTTTCGATTGAGAAAAAAAGAAAAAAATCGCTTGTTTATTGACCTATTTCAATCATTTTGAATGTACAAAAGTGGATAGAATTATTTATGCTTCAAAGTAATATTAAATAGTAATTGTTAAGTATGCTTACTCTAAGCATTTTTTTTTTTTTTTCATTTGAAATTTCATTTTTAATTATAACTTCGATATTTTTTTTTTTTTACCTCATATTGACTATTCTAATTCTAATTCTATTTTATTTTATTCCTAAATTTCAATTAAACTTTTTTAGATTTTAAGATGGATTATTATCAAATTGGAAGTTTATTTCGTAAATGCAAATGTCACCATGAAATTGAATCAAGAATGATTTGTGTCAAAGAGAATATGATGAAAGCACATTTGGAAGTGAAAAATCAACTAATTTATAGTTTAGAAAATATTATCGATGAGCAAGAAGGACGAATTCGAACTATGGATGATTATATTAATGGTATGTTAATTATTAAAAAATTTAAATTAGTAATTATTAAAATTAGCTTTTAATCTAAATATTAAATTTTGAATAAGAAGCAAAGATTAAAAAGATTACTTTTATAATTTTACATAGTTTTATAACAGAAATTTTTTTTTATTTTTTGTGTGTTTGTTTTAAAATTAATATATTTTAGGTCGAATTAAATCATTTAGTACACAACAAAATAAAATTCTCAAAGGTATCTCTCTGCTATCACTTGAATTTGGTACTTTAAGTGAAGAAAATTTGGCACTTAAAGAAGCGCTCATCAATGCACAACGCTCAATACGTCTATTACAATTAAAAATAGACAATCCTTTATTAACTCAGGTTAAATTTATGACAAAAAAATTTTTTTTTTAAAAAAAAATTTTGAGATTTTAATTTACAAAAATGTTATAAATAAATATTAAATTAAAAAAATTAAGATTAAAAATTGAAGATCAAATAAACAATAAATTCATGTAAGCTCTCCAATACTTCTTATATCATAAATTTTATTTTTAAATTTTCAAATATTTAAGTAAAAAAAAAAAAAAGTTTTTTTTAATTAGTATATTAAATATTTTTATTTTATTAAAATATATCTATTACAAAAAAATTCTAAAGAAATATATTTATTATTCTATTAAAACATTTGTATTATTAAATGTATTTATTTTTATTAAAGCTATTTTGGTGTCATTTCATTTTTGTCACTTATATTATAAAATTAATTAATTAATTAATTAATTAAGATACCGGAAAAAATTGATAAAATATGTCAAACAGATGAAAGAAAACAACAGCAATCTTTGAATTTTCATCTTCAATTGCATACTGCAAAAGATCACAAAGAAATTGACGCTGAAATTTTGTGTGAAACAAATAATAATAACCATCGATTATTCTATGATCAACAAATAATAGCAACGTTACAAGAAAGTGTGAAACAATTGATGAAAGCAAAGGTTTTTTTTGGAATTAATATCATTCGAAATTTTAATAAATTAAATTTAAATTTAATTTTAGGAAATAATTTCCTTCCTAAGCTTTTTCTTTCCATTTCTCGTTTATTAATAATAATTTTCTTTTTTTTTTTCATTTATCATCAAATATTTCAGATGCATTTAAATTATAATTTTTAGATTGAATTAAGAAAATTAGCAAGTGATATTCAACTAACAATACGTGAAGAGTTACGTGTAATACGAAAAGAAACGGAAACACGAATTGATTGTATCATTAATTCATTAATGAAACGATATCAAAAGGAAATTAATGCTCGAAAACGATTGCATAATAAATTAGTGGAAATGAACGGTAATTTATCGATAACGATTAATTGATTAAATTAAAATTTAATAAAAATTATTAACGAATCTTTTTTTTTAAATAAAAAACAAAAAATTATTAAGGTAATATTCGTGTTTTTTGCCGTATACGACCAGCATTAGAGAGTAATTATTCCAAATTATCATTGTTCATTGATCCATTTGATAATGGCTCAATTATCATTGATAATATCAATGGTGATCGAAGGAAATTTAATTGTGATCGAGCTTTTAATGAAAAGCATACACAATCTGATGTAAGCATAATTGTTATATAATTTCTAGAGTTTTAATATAAATTATTTTAACATAATTTCTGATATTAAAGTAAAAGTTACTTTAAATTTGAATGATTAACTTAATTATTAATTTTTACACGCTAATTCTTTAAGTTTTTCATCTAAAAGTAATATTTTAATCAATTTTTTTATTCAATAAAAACAATTTTAAATCGTTTAATTTTTGCATAAAAATTTCGGTTTTTTTTTTCTTTTCTTTCTGTCATAAATGTAAAAAGAATAAAGGAAAATGAATAATAAACAAACAAATAAAAATGTTTTATTAAATAAACGAAAGCAAAAAAAAAAGAAAGAAAACTAAAATTAGTAATCAAACAAATGTTTAAAAAAAAAAAAATAATAATAAAAAAGAAATAAATTTGAAGATCTTTGAAGAAATTTGTCCAGTTATAACAAGTTGTATGGATGGTTATAATGTGTGTATATTTGCATACGGACATACAGGAAGTGGTAAAACATATACTATGGAGGTTGTTTGATAAGTTATTTTAATTAATGTTAATTTAATTAGAGAGGAAGAAAGAATTTGATATTAAATTTTAGCATGAATTACTTGTAGTATTTTCATCATTAAATATTTTATATTCAATTAGATTATCATTTAACTAATACTTTTAAAGAAATCAATTAAAACTTTTTAGATTACTTTTAAAGGAATTAACTATAAAATTGTATTTTTTTTTATATGTTTAATTGAAATTTATTAATTTTCTCATAAAGCAAAGATTAAAATCGAAAATTAATTAAACTAATTTTAGGGCTTACCAAATGATCCGGGAATATATCAACGATCATTAATTCATTTATTTCGAATAGCGAATGAGCGATTAAATGATATTGATTATACAATTTCAGTATCAATGTTAGAAATATACAATGAAAAAATCAGGTATATTTTAAATTTATTTTTTAAATTTACAAATAACAATTTTATTTTATTTTTTTTTTTTTTTTTTTTTTGAAATTAAAATTTGATATAAAATTTTTAGAGATTTATTATCAAATAGTAAAAATAATCTGCCAATACGAATTGGTAACGATGGTATGTTAGATATTCCGGGCTTACTTGTACTTAATGTAAGTACGTTACAAGAAGTACAGGAAGTATTGAAGAAAGGACAAATGAATCGGGTAAATAATAATTTTCCATATATCAGTTTGTTTATTGAAATTGTTTATTGAAATAAATTGAAAGTAATGGACCCATTCAGAAATGACTGTATAATTGTTGATGTCACCACAATCTTAAATTTATAACAGGCAAGTGCGACTACTGACCTAAATGACCGTTCGAGCCGTTCACATGCCATTGTTTGTGTTCGAGTTCGATCAGTTAATCGTACAACAAATGATATTTCAGAAAGTAAATTTCAAATAATTCATCAAAAATATGAAATTTACTTTTAAGTGAAATTTGACCATTGAAAAGAATTAAAATGTTTGATTGTCACATATTAATTTTGAAATGGTTATTGTTGTTATTAGCATATGTAATGTTATTAGTATCATATAGTTTAGTCTTACATTAACAATGATTACGGATCAGATTTGAAATTGAATATGAATATTGAAATACTGAAATTAGTAGCATTTTGTATACAGTTCACAAATTTATTTATGACTTTCAGGTCGATTAAATTTAGTTGACTTGGCAGGTTCAGAACGTGTTAGCCAATCCGGTGCAACAGGTCAACAGCTTAAAGAGGCACAATGCATAAATAGGTCATTGTCAGAGTTAGGTAACGTTGTTAGTGCCTTACGACAACGACAGCAACATATTCCATTCCGGAATTGTCAACTGACACGTCTACTTGAAAATTGTTTGAGTAAGCTAGCAACTGACTAATTTGCTAATTAAATTTCAAATATTTTTTATATCCCCAAACTATCTAAGATTATCATTATTTTAATTTTTGGATGAATAATTGCTAAATCTAAACTAATGTCATAATTTCATCAAATTAATAATCAAAAATTTTACTGTTCAGATGGAGACAGTAAGACGTTAGTGGTTGTGCAATTAGCGCCAGATACAACTGCAATTCAAGAAATTCTTAGCAGCCTGAATTTTGCTGATAAATTAAGTAAAGTACAAAGGAGAAATCAAAGTTCGAAAACATCACAAATTAGCATTGGATTGTTATCAACACCATCCAAACATGAAAGGCATTGTAATTCTAAAGTTTTCAATAACTTGTATATTTGTTCTTAATTAATTTTTATTTTGTTTTATTTTAATTGATTAATTGAATGATTTGTTTTAATTGATTAGGATGAATTCTTTATGCTTTGTTGTTTAATTAATTTTTTATATTTAAAATTAATTTTTTTAGTTTCAAAATAATAATCTAATACGGATATGTGCAAAAGTAACATTCTTTGTGGGTATGCATTTTTTGCTTTTCCATTTGCATACAAAGTATTTCAGGTCACGTCTGGATCCTGGCTTTTTACGTTCTATGAGCGTACGTGTGAAGAAATGAATGTAATCGATGCCACAATAATATATAAAATGTATTGGTAGTCATTAATTATATTTGAGTAAAAATATGTTTTTTTTTTTTGAAATAAAATTCTTGATTTCTTTTCTGAAACAAACAAAAACAATAAAATGAAATTTAGTCAAAGCATAAACAATTGTTTTAACAAATAAAATTCGAAATCCTGGCACCTGAAATAGTTTAACTTTATTTCAACTGATTATACTTGGACAAGTTATTGAAATCATTGTTGTTTTAATCAACAAAAATGAAAAAAAAAAAAAAAAATTTTTGAAACTTTGATATCTTTCTTTACTGAAGTAATCAATAACTTTATTTCTTAACATAACAAATAATCGAAGTAGCATTAAGCTAAAGTAAACAAATTCAGTTATCCAGAGAAGATTACCATGGTAACCAAATGACATTGATATTTCATTCTTTAAACTATTTAATCAATTTATTTAACATTTAGTATTATTTTACAATTATCAGAAATTCAAATACTTTTTATAGAAAAAAGATTACTTAAAAATACTTAAATATAATACTATGTATTATATTTAAGTATTTTTGCTCATTAAATATTGCATACTATTAAGGAAATAATTTAATTCAATGTTTAATTTTTTTTGTTATTATTAATTTTTAAGAAATTTAAATTTTTAAAATTTAGGAAATTTTCAAATTTTAGTATGAAAAAAAGTGAAAATAGTAGCAGCAAATGGGTATCAGCTCTACAAGCCACATCTCTTGGCCTTAATACCCTTCCAAGTTGTGTTTGTTTGGCTGATCTTTATGGTGATGGTGATTATAAATTAGTAATTGGTGATTTTGGCACCGAGAAATATGATATCCAATTGAAAGTGTTTCGAGGTTTACAAATTATTGGCGCAAATGTCCTCAGCGATTTACCAGCTGCCTTAGTGTCATTCAATAATGAAAATGTAAGTATTCAAAAATTCATATTATTTCTATATATATTTATTAAATCTCAAATCTTTAGAATTTGATTTCAGAAATTTATTGTATTTACTTGTGGCATATTTTGATAGGTTTAATTTTTGCTATTCCTAATTGTAAAATTCATTTGTTTTAATCAAATTCATTATAGATACAACCTAGCTTAGCATCACTCGCGGTAGCTTGTGGTTCATCAATTTTAATTTACAAAAATTTAAAACCATTTTACAAGTTTACACCACCATCATTGGAAATAAACGCAGATGAAGCAGAAGCTTGGCGACATGTTAAAGCTGGTCACATTAATACCTCACAACTTCATGCTGTACTCATCAAATTACTTCATCAGGTTCTATCATTTTGTTTAAAAATAAATTAAAAAAAAAAGTTTAATTTATTGAAGTCTGTTACAATTAAGCAATAAAATTTTTTGAGAAATGCAATCAATCATTTTTTTTTTAAGACTTTTTGATTTAAATGATAAAAAATATTTTAAAGAAATGAGATACTGATAAAAATGATAAGTAAATTTTATCATAGCTTGGTGGCATGGAATTGACAACTCGTTCGCAAGCATTTTTATGTAGTAAAGAAAGCGATCGAGAAAGTATACTTCAACAATGTCTAAATAGTAAACTAGTCCATCAAAGTACCATAACTTGTATGACAACAATGAAACGATCGAGCGCAGAGCTTAGCGCCATCGATTGTATCATTTGCGCCACTGAATATGGATATGTTTATTGTATCGATACACAAGCATTTACCATTTTAACTCAATGTAAAATACCAGGAGTTCCTGTATTTCTTTATGCTGCAGGTTAATATCAAAGTATATTTAAAATGATAAAAAGCTAAATTTTAAATTCTCAATTTTTAAAAAATACATTTTGATTAATAAACATTAAGCAAATATTTGATTAAAATTGCTATTTATATTGTAAAATTTAAGAATATTACTTGTCGTATTTCAGGTTTATATGAAGTTGATTATCGAATATTTGTAAGTACAAGAGATTCAGAAATTTTTTGTATCAAACGAGATATGAAATCAGTATTGAATCCAATTATCACTATGACAGCTGATATTATTGATATGATTCGTGTTGGAAAACAGGTCAATAATTAATCGATGATATATGTCAAATAGTAAGATATTAGAAGATAATTTATCAGGAATTTTTATAACACTAAAATTAGATTAATTATTGTTTAACAAATTAATTAGCAAAAATTTTCTTTCAAACATTTTTCTCAGTAATATAACTTTTTCTTAATTAGTCTGAAAGTGTTGCATATATCATTGACAAATTTAAGAATTTAAAAATTTAAGAATTGACAAATTTAAGAAATTTAAGAATGAACTTAAAAAAAAAATTTTAAGTCTGATTATTTAAAAGTTTGTCATATAACCTAGTTCTTAAATAATTTTATTTAATTTTATTATTTATTATGGTACTATTATTGGTACATTTGTCATTTCTTCTCCTTTCGGCATATTATTTCAACATTTAAATATAATCAGAAAGTACCAATAGATGAATTCATCTTTTCTTTTTTTTCAAAATTTGTCATGAAAATTTTTGTAACTTAAATGAAAACCAAGTATGAATTTCATGTTAGCTAGTGGTAGCATGTACCGATCAGACAATATCGTTTTTTTCTGCCAATGGAAAATGTCAAAATAAAATAAAATTGGATGAAACGATATGTGGTATCGATACTTTTACTTATGAACCTAAACAATATGTTTCTCTCTTAGTTGCACTCAATAAAGAGGTTCATTTTTATTTTAATAAAAAAAAAGAAAAAACCTAAATTTGAATTTGTATCTAAGCATTAATTTAATTTCATTTTAAAAAAAAAAAAAATATATTGTAAGATAGAAATTTACAAACAAAGAAATATCATCCATCACTATCATTTCACTTTTTTGATAAGTGATAAATTTAGTTGATCTATTCATATAGATGCTTAAAATTTACTTTCATATAAAATTTATTGATCTTAAAGTAAATTTTCAGGTGAGAATTTACAATGAAACATCATTAGTGGATCAACAGGTAATTAATGAACCTATAAATTGGATTAAATATGGACAGTTGGGGCGTGAACAAGGTGCACTAATTATTGGCACAATATGTATGTTTAAATTTAGGCCTTTTATTTATTTGTTTATTTGTATTAATTACTTACTCATTAACTCATTTAGAACTTACTTACTCATTAACTCATTTAAAATTTACTTACTCATTAACTCATTTAAAATTTACTTACTCATTAACTCATTTAAAACTTACTTACTCATTAACTCATTTAAAACTCATTTACTCATTAACTCAAAAATTTTTTTTGATTTCTATGCTAATCATTTTTCAATATTTTTAACATATTCAAAAAAGAAATATGCACATATATGAAAGAAAAAATAAATTTCAAGAATAAAAATAAAATATTTTTGCAAAAAGACAAATAAATAAATTAAAATTTATAAGCAAATGAAATTGGAACTTAAATTTAAATTTCATTTTTCATTCCTTTTTCTGTCCTATAAAATATTCATTATAATATACAAATGGAAAAGAATGTCAGAATGGATTTAAGTTAGTGCTAGCATTTATTTACTATTATCGTTTCTTTAGTCTCATTGTGATATCATACTTAAATATTTAATAATTTTTGATATAACAATAAGAAATACTTTTTTAAAAAAAAAAAATTTTCAAGCTGGTGGCTTAATTGTCAAACTTTTCCGTCGAACAGCAACACTGGAAGAGAAAATTGGAGAAATTGGCCCTGTACAAGCACAATTTCGTAAATTAAACATACCACGTAGGACGCAAATTTACGTCGATCAAACAACACGTGAACGTAAACATGCGCAACTTATGCATCAGGTATTTAGCATTGTTAGTTTTACACAAACTAAAATGAAAATCATTTATAGAAAAGATCATAAGTGTATTACTAATTGAAGTTTCATTAATTAATTAATTAATTTGAACGAATAAAATTTGTAAAAATTCTTATTCAAATAATTTTTAAAATTATTTGAATTAATAAAAATAAATTTTGCAATGAAATTTAACCTGGATAATTTATGTTAATCTAATCTTTAATTGATTTTTAATTTTCATATATGCAATAAAATGTTGCATTTTCCATTTGAGTTTTTTTCGTTTGAAATTCAAATCCTTAATTTCAATCTCTTCGTTGTTAATGATATAAATATCAATCGGGTAGGTAGATAAATGATAAATGATAAACAAAGTTATTATGCGACAAATTTATTTATCCTAAATTATTCTTCGCTTAGAACAAAGAAAACGATTTGCAGCCTTTTTTTTTTTTTTTTTTTTTTTTGATCTTTTCCTTTTGTTTTGCTTATTTTGTTGTATCTCATTGATTTCTACTGATTTTATCAAATACAATTAAACCTTTTGTTCTATTATTGAAGAAAATTCCTTTTTCAAATTCCATTCTTTCTTTTTTTATTACTAAAGGAAATGTAGCAAATCTATGACAATGAGTAATGATATTTGATTTTCATGATAAAGACTGATTGTAGATATCAGTGATAATGATAATGATTATAGCAAAATGTGATATAGACTTCAATAATAATAATTAATAGCTTAATAATTGATTAGTTTCTAACAATAATAATTGCTAATGAATTTAATATAAATTTAAAATACATTGTTTAGGTCTTTCAAAGGGATCTATTTATGTTACGATTATCAGTTACTAAAGCTTTTGCAAATTTAACACAAAATTCATTAAATTCAATATCGACTAAAAAAAATGAAGCAGTAGAAATATCCGTTGAAATTAATGGTTTTGGACCAATTTTCCGGATGATTGTTAAACTTCAAGCTACTTCGTATGTTTTTTTTTTTTTTTTTTTTAATAAAGAAATTTAATTTTGTTTCGTTTTTTCTTTTTTTTTTTTTATTCAATCTTTTCTCTTTGTAATATAAAATAAATTCATTGGAAAATAGATTTTATTTGTGTGAATTATTGTTAAAAGTAAACAATAATAAATATTTTTGTTATTGTCATTCTATTCTTATTTGTAGACTATTTATTTATTTGTTTATTTTTAAAATTTTAGATTCATTTCAAAATTAATAAAATAATTTATTAGCAAATTAATATTAATATTAATAAAATAATTTATTAGCAAAAATTTGCATGCATCATTTCAGCCAAACACCTCTTCAGCATCTTTATTTGATGTTTCACTACAATCCGGATTTATATGAATTTGAAGATTCATCAATTCCGGTTCCAGCATTAGTATCTGGAATGACATATGTATTTCATATTGTTGTGCGTTGCCTGAATCCGGAAAAGGGTATTTCGGATGATGTCCGGATAATTTTAGCTGATAACTGTAAGATAATCGTTGCTGCATTGGTTACTATGCCTATTAGTGAAATGAGCCTATTAGATTGATTTGTTTATTTAATATTTTAAAAATTGAAATTGAAATTTGTATTATTATAAAGTAATTTTGTGATGTACGTTTATATTAATGTGTATAAATAATATAAATAGTAAAATAATGATTGTTACTTACTTACAAGTAATTTGGTTCATATACTTATCATTAAATTCTTTCAAATTTGAAAACAAAACAACTTTTTGCTTAAATTACAAAAATCGACTGAGTAATTATAAATTATAAGTAATTGTTTTAACTATAAAACGTAAAAAAATCAGTTGAAATAATTTTTAAAACATATTTATAAATTTGCAAACTTTAATAGCTATTAAAAGTATAAGTAAGTACAGGTCTTCTCTCATTTGCTATATCATTTTCTCTATATTAATATGTATATTTTAAAAATTGAATTCAAATTCGAATCTGATTTTACTAAAATTATTTAAATGCAATTAAAAGTTGAAATTTGGAGAAAAAAAGTTTATTATAAAAATGATAATTAGTTTTACAAAGGATAAAATTGGCGAAATGTTTAAAATTTATTTTATTGTTTTAATTTTAATTGAGCAAAAAAAGAAAGAATTATCATACTTTTATTTTCCAGCATTTCAAAAATTTGAATTTTTATTTTACAATAAATTTAAATGCATTAAGTGATAAGAAGTGATAATCATTATCACATGTTAACATTACATAAATAATATTCGCTCATTAGAATTACACAAAAGATAAAATTGAGGAAATGTTTGTATTTCTTTAAAAAATGAAAAAGTTTTCCTAAAAAAAAAAAAAAAAAATCAAAAAAAAAAAAAAAAAAAAATCAAAATATTTTAGAGTTTCAAATTACAAAAAAAAAAAAAAAACTTTTACTAAAATGATAAGAATTGAGTCGATTATTTACTTCTGTACAATTTCAGATTATAATTTAGGATTTTGAAATTACATTCCTTTAAAACTGCATTTCTTTAAAAAAAAATACTTCCAAAAAAAAGAAATAATTGCAATTTTATTGTAAGAGGTTGTTATTACTCTTTCTTTATCATTATCACCTATGTCCTATCACTGTTATCACTATTATCACTATTATTTATGCACACGACATTCTGTCATCATTTCAAACTAATGAAATGTCATCTAGACTTACTGTCCTTCACTCAGTGTCTCTTTTTTTTTTTTAAATTTGTTTTGACAATATCAGTTATATCTTATGAAGTGTTAACATTCCCACATTAAAATTAAAAAACTGGAAATTCATTGTCAAAATTTTGTTTATTTTTTTTTTTTTTCATTTTTCGGAAAAATGCTGTTATCAAATGTTGAGAATCGCTTGAAAGAACAAAAAAAAAAGGAAAAAATAACACATAATATTGTTTAATTTAAAAGTTGCAATTTAAAAATAACAAAATTTATTTATTATTTAATATACTAAATTCCAATTTTTAAATTTCTATTAATTCTTATTTTTTTTTTTGCTAAATAATTAGTTAATCAATAAATTATGCTAATATTACATTTATTATGTTTAATTTTTTTTGGCTAATTGTTATCATTAAGTAATCAATTTTGAATAAATAATATGTAAATGATAACAATGATAACAATGATAATATGCTAATTGGGAAGAAAAAAAAAAGCACAAACAATTATTAAATGTTAAGTAACAGATAATCCTTACTTTAATCCTTATTTTATTACTTTTAAAATTTTTGAAACGATGTAGGAATTTAAAATCGATGGATAACATTGAAAAAAAAAAAAGGTGTAAAATCTTTTTATAGTTTATTTATTTTATTTTTTTTTTTTAAATAACATTTAATAAACAGAAGTGTTTAATGTCTTTCTTTTTTTTTTTTTTTGTATAAATACCTCAAGCAAAATTCTTTTGAAAAAAAAAAATTGAAATTTGTAAATAGCATTTTTCAAAAAAAAAAAAAAACTTTCTACTTTGTGAAGCACAAAAAAAAAAAAAAAAAAACAAGATTGTTAAATATGATTTTTCCTACATTTTATCCTTCTTCCTTCTCTTATCTAAATCAAAAAATTTTATCATAGCCAGTCTACTATTTCAAATTTTCTTTTTTTTTTTTTTACAGAAACAAGATGATAAGTGAGTTTAAAAATAATTTAATTTTATTCAAGTGTTATTTCTCTTCACAATTTTTCAAAAACTTGTCACTTCTCTCTCTCTCTCTCTCTCAATTTTTTTTTTTTTTTTAATTTATTTAATTGACAATGTTTTGCATAAATATTATTTATGAGTGAGGAGATTGCAAAAGACACAAATTGTTAACGAAAAACTTGTTGATAAAATTGTTTTTATAGCGTTTATTTCAATAAGTTATATTTAACAAGCTTATTTGTAATTTCATTTTAGTAAATTATCAATTTAAAAGGAATATTTGGACCAAATTTTTGTTTAACTTTCCATTTCGTATCACTTATGAGTAGTAATAACAAATTAATGTTTATTTATTTTTTTTTTGAATTAATGACATTAATGTCGCAAAATTAGATTACTTTAAAATTAGACCTATTGTTCGATTACTTCCTCCTTATTGTTAGATTATTTTGTTATTGTTAGACTATTTCATTATTGATTTATTAATTAACTAAAATTGCTGTCTTTCTATTAATATCACTTATTCATAGTAATAACAAATGACATTAATGTCGCAAAATTAGATTACTTTAAAATTAGACCTATTGTTCGACTACTTCCTCCTTATTGTTAGATTATTCCTTTAAAATTAGACCTATTGTTCGACTACTTCCTCTTTATTGTTAGATTATTCCGTTATTGTTAGACTATTTCATTATTGATGTATTAATTAACTAAATTAATTAATGAAGTATTGTTGTTAATTAATGAAGTATTACAGCCATTTTTTTGCATTTATAATATGTTCGTTAATGATTGCTCAATTATTTCATTAAAAGTGAAAGGAAAAATTTAGCAAAAATGAAATTAGTCAAAGAATACTAATTTGATTTGATTAAAAATTATATTTGTTTAAAAATATAATTTATACACAAATGTATAATGCACAAAAAGAAATTTTTTAAACAAATATAACGCAAAAAAAAAAAATTCTTCGATGCTAATTTCATTATTAAATTATTTTAATATTTTCATAAGCGAATTAAAATATGACAGATTGACAGATAGGTAGGAATATTTTAATTTGATGTATTTTATTTCATCAATTAAGTCCTAAATTATTAATTTATAAATAAGATTTAAAATTATTTAACATACCGAAACATGGAATGATTACTTGAAAAATTAATATTAATTATAAATCAATCATCATTAATCGTAGAGCATAAAAAAATTAAATGATTTAATGACTGAGTAAAATATTTTGGCTAAATTTTTTTAATTAATTAAACAAGACTAACATATTATAACTGATGCTAATAATATTTCAAATTAATAATAAAATTTTATCTATTAATAACTATAAATATAATTAATTAAATTTACATTATTGATTGTATTCACTTTTACTAATTAACAAAAACTTTGAAAGTGTAAAATTATTACAAAGTTTCAAAAAAGCTATCAAATTTATCATTTAATTATCTCTTAATAGTGATTAAATGTCAAAATTAACAAAGATTATTTTGCATATTCCAAAGAATTTGTTCAAAAGAAAAGAAAAGAAAGGAAGAAAGGAGGGAGGGAAAAGAGATATTTGTTAAAACTATTTGAAAAAAGATGTGAAAAAAAAAAAGCAGAACCAATCCCATTTATCATTATTTCTCTTTTAGAAAAAAAAAAAAAAAAAAAGGAAATATAACCTTCACTATTTACCTGTATACCTTTTTTTAATTTGAATTTTGCTTGGAAACAGGTAGAGACACCTCCTTCTACCTCCATCTCTTCATTGATAGTAAACAAAATTCAAAAAGCATTGCACAATTGTGGTTGGAAAGCAAAGACGAGAAACCGTTTCACTTCTCAATTTCGGTAGCTCTTACGGAATTGAAACAGGAATAATTCCGTTTAGAATAAATATTGTATCGATCGTATACTATTCACTTTCTTACTATTCATTTTATTAATGACATTAAAATTTCAAACTAATTATAGTATTGTCACAGATTGAAAAATGCATCAATTTGCTTAATTAATTAAATATTTGTATTTAAATTATTAATTTTTAAATTATTAATTGATACAACAATAAAATCAAAAATCGATAAAGCTAATATTATTTATCGTAAAGGAAGAGGAAAAATTATTATTATTTTAATATTCTTCGACGTATTTTAATAGCTCATACTGTAATTTTGCTTCTTATTAATTATTTCAATTTTACAAATTTAATTACAATTTAAATATTTCAATTTTTCTATCAGTTCTTCCGAAATACCCGAAATGGTAATTTACTATTCAACGTCTGCAATCTTAGCTCTTTTGTTTATTCTATTTCAAGGTTAGTTTATTTTTTATTAATTTAATTTAATTTAATTATTTATTAGCAAAAATATTAGTGAATGAATAAGACATAAACAAAGAGAAAGGTTAAATAGATAGTATACACAATCTTTGGTAATATCAAGGTTGATTTTCAACAGTAAAAAATTATTTAAAAATATTTTTTAAAAAATATTTATGGTATTAATTATAAAATAAATTAAATATTATCTTCCTTTTTCTAAAAAAAAAAAACTTAAATTTCGTATATTATTCAATTACAAACAAAAAATCAAATTTCATTTCTTTTTTATTTGAAAATCAAAGACTTTAAGAATTTATATTCTTTTAATGTAATAAATTTAATAGTTCGACAAAAAAAAAAGGCCAAAATGTACGATAGTGGAACATTTATTGCCTGTTTTAATGATAAAAAAAATTTGGTTTTTAGATATAATTTAAATTTATAAATTACTTCTGAATTTCATATTTTCGTTGCATTTTCAACTTTTTTTTTTTTTTTTTTTTGCTCAAAAATTTCATATAAAAGTTAATTAATTTTGACAACTTTCAGAAAATATGAACCTAATTTTAAGAAAAAATTACTCAGAAGAAAAAAACTACTCAATTGAGATACTTAAACTCTTAAAAGTTTCAACTGGAAATGAAAAATTAGCAAAAGTGAAAGAAGAAATAACATTAAAATTAAATTTAAACGATTTTAAGACCTATCAACTTTTCGAAAATACTTTACCATTTTCTTATATGATAAACAAAAATTTTAAAACCTTATCACTATTTACTTTTATCATTAAATTTATGCTATTAAATCAGTAATGAATTTATTGAGAATGATTATCAAATAAATACTGTCAATTGAAATTTAATTTCAGGAGTTAGTGGTGATGACAATAATCCAATCACGAGACGTTTCAAGTGTCGCGATGGTTGCTGCGACGAACATGAATGGTGTCGCTTCTGGGCATCCGCGGGGGAATGCACCGCTAACAAAGGATGGATGAGTGATAATTGTCAATTAGCTTGCAACACCTGCCACAAAAGTATGAATTAGTTCTGCTGACTTAATTAATAATGCTAATTAACGATAAATTAAAATGAAAACAATAGGCAAATTGCATGTGTGTATGTTTGTATGTGTGTATGTTTGTATGTGTGTATGTTTGCATGTGTGTATGTTGTGTATTTGTGTGTCCATTTTAATTGTGAAAGATTATTTTCCCCTTGAAGGCAACGATTCGGAAGAAACAACCTCTTCCATAGCGCTTCTCTTTTAAGTAGGAAATAATTACCCGCGCTGCCCGGCCACTTTTCCCGTGTCCAGTGGCTATTCCTAAACTGATCCTAAAATTATTCACATTCCGACAATATGGATAACAAAAATGATGTAATAGTGATTATTTTTCCCTCATAATAACTACTATCACTACTGCTAATAATAATGATAATAATAGTAGTGATAATAGAAATAACAACAGTGATACCAACAATGATAATAATAGTAATAACAATAGTGATAATAAGGATAATAGCATTAATAACAGTGATACTAATAATGATAATAATAACAATAGTGGCAATAGAAATAACAACAATGATACCAATAATGAAAATAATAATGATAGTAATAACAATAGTGATAATAATGATAATAGCAATAATGATACTGATACTAATGATACTGAATACGAACAGTGATACTAATAATGATAATAATCTCATAATAATGATAATAAAATAGCAATACTGATAAAATAATAACAAATCTTAATGATGATAATAGAGTAATGATAATGATAAATTATATCAACTGTATTGCTATTATCTATATCACAAAAAACTAATTTAGTTAGTACAATAAATATGCAATGACAATAATCACAACTAAATTATAGTAATTATTGTATATGTAACGATGATTCTTATTGTTTGTTTAATTAAATTGCTACTCATAACAATTAAAATTTGATAAATCATTTGCAAATTCGTAAATTTACTTACTGACTTATCAGCCAGTCTGTTAATCTATTTACTTTAATTGTCATTTTAATTAGATACTTTTAGTTTCAATTATTTCAAAAATTCTTTCGAACAATTAAATATAAGTTATCAATTGAAGTGTTAGCATTTCATTCCTTTTTTTTTTCATAATTTTAAATTTTGAACGATTTCAAAAGTTTCATAGTAACTCTCAATTTTATCTTTCTAATTGTTTCATTGACTTTTCTAATACTAAGCAAAAATTTTTTAAAAATTATTCTTTTTTTTTATTTTCATAATTTTTTTTTTTCTATGCTAACAATACGAAAATTTTAGCTTTTAATCAAAGAAAGATTGTTCGAAAAAGAAATTAAATTTGACAAAAATTTTAAATTTGAAAAAAATTTTTTAACATAATCTTTCATCTGAAATAATCATTTGTGATAAGTAAACCATTAATTAAAATTTATTCTTAGTTTGATAAAATATCTAAAATTGGTCTCTTTAAAACAAAAAAATAGAAGTTATGATAGATAATTAACAATCATTCAATTTGACATTGATAAAATTCTTAAAGAAATTTTGTAGATATCGTTTAAAATGAGATCTGTACCATTTCATAATTTTAAAATAGCATTCGTTATCTTATCAGTTATGATATCATTGATAATTTTTAATTTTATGATATAAGATTGAATCATCGACATTATTCGCTATCGTTTTATCTTTTCTCATTGTTTTTTTTTTTTTTGAGATATATTTTATCATTCTATAACTTTTTTTCCTTTTTTAAAGTGATTCTTTCCTAATTAAAAATAATTAAATTTTAGAGTTTGATTTTTTCAAATTTTTGTTAAGCTCTCATAATTTTACTTCGTTCATTAAATTCGCATTAAATAAACAATTAAATTATAATATTATTTATAATAATTAACTTTTAATACTTATTATTGAATGAGAAATGATAAAAAACGATGATACAAATTGATAATTTCTTGATAGCCAAAATAATTTTTAGTTCTCAAATAATTATGATAGTACTAAATTGATGAGTTTAAATTTGTTAAAAAGTTACATATCAAAACGATCGTTCATTATTTTCCAACAAAAAAAAAATCGATAATTTTTCATAAAATAAAAACTTCAAATCTTTTTTTTTTTTTTAAATTAACAAAAATCTTTGTAAAATTGTATTGCCATTTGGTCACAATTAAATTTTTTTTTTAACAAAATAGCAAAAAAATTTCATTTTTAAATTAAATTTATTGAAATAACAAAAGATAAATTTGCTAAGATTTATTTTATATTTTTGTTGAATTCACAATAATATGTATGCAATTAGTTTACCCAAACAAATAATTCATTAAATTTTATTTTTCCCATTAAACGGAAACATTTGCGCAATTGTACGGTGTAATTGTCCGTTCCAAAAAAAAAAAAATAAAATAAAAAAGGGGGAAGTAATTAGTTTTATCATCATTGTAAAAACACGTTTTTCCAACCTTTTACAAAAAGAAATTTTATCAAAACAAAAAAAAAATTAAAAAGTAAAAAATATTTTATCTCTGTGATTTTTATTAAAAAATTGATTTTAAATTTTCATTAAAAAAGTAAAAATGAAAATTAGCTTTATTTTAATGAAATCTCACTTCCTCATTTCTTTTTTTGAATGAAAAGTCTTAGACAGCTGATTGTTCATTTGGTGGAAATTTTTTTTAAATTAAAAATTGTGACATTGAATATAAAATTACTGAAAATTATTTCATTGCATATTTAAAATGATAGAATAAATTAAACTTTAATAATTAAATAACTGGAACTGACCAACCAATTTTTAAAATAATAATGAAATTTTATTTGGAAAAAATAGAAATGAAATGTCATTGAAAAATTTATTTTTTTAAAGTTAATTATATTAATTTATGATTGTGATTAAAATTGTCAAAAAAAAATTAGGCTAATAAGTATGTGCTATATGCTAATAGTCAAAAATTTTTGACAAAGTTTAATTTAAAATTTAAAAAAAAAAAAAAAAAATTTGAATTAGACGACAATTCATTCATCATTTCACTATTACACTGTTTCAAAACTGTTTTTAAAATTTCAGATGAAGAAAAAAAAAATACAAAAATTGACGGAAATATAGGAAAAGTCTTCCAATTTAATTTATTAATTTTAATTTATTTATGACTTTTAATTTATTAATTAGCAAATATTCGATCAATTTACTATAATATTTATTCAGCAATTTAATAAATTATATATAAGAAAATATTAAATTATTAAAATATTATTAATTCTAAGCATCAATATTTTTAATAATTTTGCAATTATTAATTAATGAATTTTTAATGATTCAGAAATTTTTTTAGATTTTTTAGAAACTTTGAAACCTTTAAAATTTCATTAATAAATAATATAAGATAAGGTGAATCTAACAATAATGAATGGATAAAATAATTAGTCTATGATAAATTAAAATTTTATAAAACATTTTTGCATATATTAAATTTTATTCGGAGTCTCACTAATTTATAAATTAAATTAATTGAAATAAGTTATACTCATTTACATTTTTAATTGATAATATATTCCGAATAAATTGTTAAAGAATATATTTTTGTTATATAAAATGATTGTAAATGAGTTTTTAATTATTTCTTCTTTTTTAATGAAAAAGATTTGTAATTAAATAATTTTATTTGTAATTAAATAATCAATCAGTAATGAAATATGCAAAAAAAAAAAGTTTTTCTTTTTAATGTTTTTAGAATTGTATAAATAATTATAATTTGAAATAGAAAACAAATTTGTATAATGAAAAAAAAAAAAAAAAGAAATGAAATTTGTTTAAAGATTTTGAATAGCAAATTAAAACATATGAATGATAATGATGGAAAAGAAAATAAATGAAAATTTCAAAAGATTTCGCTACAGCAAACGATTTTACTTTTTATTAGTTAAACTGATTGATTTATTGATTTATTGATTTATTGTTGTTGCAACTTTTTTTTTTCTTCATTTTCTCTATTTTTCTATTCAAAATATATTTTTAAAATTGTATTAATCACCATAAATGGATTTGTTTTAATTATTGAACATTATTATAATCTAATTTTTTTTTTTTAATTTGAAATTTTATTTTTAGAAATATCTCTAAAACTTTTCATTCAGTAAATTAAAATGCTTTCATAAGTAATAGAAATGATGGATTAAAATTAGCTGACAGAAAGAAAATAGAATCAAAAATGTAATTTTGTTAAATATGAAAATGCATTAAAATTTATATTTGCATTTTCTGGTAATTAAAATTTTAATTTTATTCGAAAAAAGAAAAACTGAATGTTTATTTCTGAAATTACAGGTTAAAATGCAATCATTTTTATAAAAATTTATAAAGAGAGACAATTTTATTTGTTGAAAATACTAAAAATTGACAAAGTGAAAATTTTGAAAATTTTAAATTTTTAAAGTAAAAAACAAACTTTTCTATTTTCTATTTGTTCTTTCAAAATTTGAAATAGGCAAATGGATGAATAAATAGAAAAGTTAGTGAAAATAAGAAATGGAAAGTGTTCTTGTCACTGTTGAAAATGTCACAATGAATATTTAGATGACATTGAGAAGATAATTCTGTTTACCTAAATAATTTCTAAAAAACAATCTAACTTTCTTCATTTAATTAAATCGAATTAATTAGTGATTGTTTAGATTAGAACTTTCCTCATTTCCAAATATTTTAATAGAAAAGAGTTAATTATGATAGCAATATTAAATGAAAAATTGATAAAATGTAGTAAAAGTATTTATTTGAAAATGTGTAAACATTTTTCAAATTGGAATGACTCATAAATTAGAAAATGAAAAAGGATTGATTCGATAACATTTTTAGCCATAATAACGGTACTAAATGATAATTTAAAAACAAGTTTTGAAAAGTTGAAAAGAATTAATATTAATTTAATTGAATGAATAATTTAGCAAAAATGATCAAATATTTTTCATCTAATATAATAATTATAATTAAACTAAAAATAATTAACAATTATATACCTTTTTATAGTTATAAAAGAATAGTTACTAAATTTTATGCTACCATTCTAATAGAAATTCTAATTTTTAATTTAATATTTCGTCTTTTGTTTTAATTAAAATCTTTTGAAATTCTTAAAATTACAACAAATTTTATAAATTTTTCTTTAATAGTGAGTTTTACATTTTAATTAATTTTTGATGTAAAAGTTTTATAATCTTCTTATTTTTATAATTAATGATTATGTTACATGCAACATCAGAATTATCCGAATGAATGCGCAAATGTCGTATAATCTGTGTAATTGTGAACATACTTTTTGGATCATTCATTTCGTTCTCTGATTTCTTCTTTTATATTTAATTTCATTCATTGATTTACTCAATTAGCTAGAATAATTTTTTAAATATAAATTTTTAAAATGAAATTTTGTGATTGAAAAGTGAAATTAGCAAACTAAAATTAATTAAAAATGTAGCGAATTATGTGTTAACATAAGGCGCTAAATAACATTAGCGCCATTTATTAGAATGAATGAAAAATAAGAAATTAATAAATTTCACTACTGAAAAAAAAAACTTGTTATCGTCAATAAGAAAGCTTTATTTACACATTGTAATAATAGAAATATTTGATGGACTTTTTATTTCTCTTTTCTACACATCATTTTAAAATACTTTTTAAAAGTAACATTAAATTCAAATTTCAAAAATTGAATCTTTTTAACTTTTCGATTTCTTTTTTTAAAGAGAAAACTAACTTTGGGATAAATTTTTAAAAACTACTTTAATCATCTTTAATGGCATGCAATGGCACAGCAAAGCAAATGATAATATTGCAATTGCAAAAATTTCAAATTTTAAATTCAAACAGTTCTTTGACCAAGAAAAATTATTTGAGAGTGATGTAACTTAAGACTGACAAGTGATATGAATTTATAATAACATTTTAACAAATGATTGTTGGTTGATAATTTTTTCCAGTTCGATTTATGTTATATATTTTTTTTTTTTTTACTTGAATAACAGATATTCATTTCTAGTTTCAAACATTTATAAAATTATGGATGAAAAGATAAGTCATTAACAAATATTTTCAAATATATACCTTAAAAAAAAAAAAAAAAACTTCAAAATCAAGAATAAATTTGAAAAAAAAAGTTATATTATTTGAAAAAAAAAAAAAAAAAAAGATAAATAATATCTTTTGACAGTTTATTTATCATCTTTTAAGCTAATTTAAATAATTAAATAAAAGCATTTAATTTCACATTTAGAAGCATCACGACGATCACTTCGTAACAATCAGCAGCGTCGATTATCCACCATTGCAACACGCAATTCTCATCGATCAAATAAAAATAAAAAGATTAAAAGAAAGCGCCTTCGAAAAAATAAACAAAAAAGGCATACATTTATTGAAATTTGTTTAATTAAATAGACATTGAAATTGGCTGCAAAATTAAATTTATACTTAAATTTTCATCTGATGACATTAATTAAATAGCAATGATAGCATTTAAAATTAAATTATTACTCTCTAATTTACTGAATTTAAACTACAAAAGTTATTTCTAGGCCTTTAAAAAATCATCACCATCGGCCAAGCAATCATTCAACTGTCACTTTACGTTCACACACACACAAAACTACAACCACTCGACGATTAACAGTTTTAGATCGATGTAAACAGATTCAAGCAAATCCTTCAAATGCAGCTGAAATTTTACTCCGTGAACGACTCATTTTCTCAGTTGAAGGTTAGTGCTAGTTTTATTAAATTCAAATAACAATCTAAATGGCTAATTTAATCTGACATGCAGTATGCATATGCATGCATTATGATTGAATGCATCAAAGTTAACATTTAAAATAAAGTTTATCAAATTCCATTTTATTATCAGTTATTATTATCAGTAATCAATAAATCAATCAATGTTACCGCCGTTTTCTTTAACTTGCAATACAACAAAAAGCGCCTAATTCTAGATGCAAATATATTTAAATAATTAATTAGCAATTTTATTATCAGTAATCAATAAATCAATCAATATTACCGCCGTTTTCTTTAACTTGCAATACAACAAAAAGCGCCAAATTCTAGATGCAAATATATTTAAGTAATTAATTAGCAATTCTATACTTTAAATTACAATTAAAATGCAAATATAAAAATTAGATTAATTTAAAGTTCATTAAAGCCACTGTAATTTACAATATGAATATTACAGATTTATCAGGTCGAAGGGCATTAACTCAAGAGGAAGTAGTACGATCGAACATGGCCTTTAGCTGTGTCCCACGTTTAGATGAAGCAGAATGTCAACGTTCCCTCTGTTACAATCTTTATTATCGTACAATGGATGGTACATGCAATAATCTTTTCCGTCCGTTACGTGGCGCTGCGTTTCGACCTTACAACAGGTTATCATTAATTTGCATATTTCAAATATTAATAAATTGAAATATTGCAAATAGTTAGTATAATTTTATAATTTTGAATGAAAGTTAAAATATTAAATTATTATCCTCCAGTTTTTTTTGAAATGAATTCATTGTTAGTAATACCCATTAACTTTTGATATGTTCAAAGATATATTATATATTTCAGATTGCTACTCCCAGAATATGATGATAAACTTTCAGAGCCAGTTGGTTCGTTTTTTTTTTTTTTTTTTAATTTTTTTATCTAATTTTACAAAAAAATTTTTTAGAAATTTTCAACGAGTTTTTAATTTTTTGAAAAGTGTCGTATGAGACATACATTAAATAGTTTTAGTATTGGTTCGTATTAAGTTTAATTAAAAGGATCCTAAAGTGAAATAAAATAAAATTTTATCTTTAAAGTAACCATCGAGAAAGAATACCAAAATAAAATAACAGCTTGAATTTTTAGACGTGTATGAGTAATCAATTTAAATTAAAATCAAAAATAAAATCAAATATTTGAATTTGTTTTCCGGTTCTATGCATTCAATTCGACCAAATGCTCGTGAAGTTAGTCGTTTGATACTTTCATCTCGAAAATCGGTACAACATGGAGAATACAATGCTTTATTAATGCAATGGGGACAATATCTCATTCATGAGATGGCCAAAACAACACTTGTTCCATCGGCCAAGTGCAATATTTGCCAGAATATCCGTGGCCGATGTATGGCTGTGCCTATCTTACCAAAAGATCCAAATAAAACGTAAATATCATTTCATTTATCTTTTTTGTATTTTAATTAAACTCTCTGATAAATGATGAAAATATCTTCTGCTGTTCTATTCTATTCTTTTTTTTTTTCAATTTTAATTTTAATTTTAGTTTCAAATCTAATAGATGCATTCGAGTGTCACGTTCTAGTGCCATATGTGGTTCCGGAAAACAAAAACCACGACAACAACTTAATGAAAATACTAATTTTATTGATGGATCACCAATTTATGGATCTAGTGTTGGAGTAAGTTACTTTTGAAAAAAAAAAAAAAGTTCAATATTATAGAATAGTATTTCTAATATTTCTTTTCAAATTAATCTTTTCATTGATAAGGAGCGCAAAATAGTGAAAAAAAATGATATTAGAAAGCGCAATTGTCCAATGCCTTTTTTTTTTTTTGTCTATATGCCTATGAATATAATTTTAAATTTTAGGATTTGCATAAATTTCGAGAAGGTAAGACAGGTTTTTTGAAAACAGTTTTCTTTAATGGATTCCGTTTGCTACCATTTGATACAAGAACATGCCGGAATGCTGCATCCTGTTCAGCTATTTTCATCGCCGGTGACAGTCGTATAAACTTATTTATAGGCCTTAGCTCTTATCACATTATCTTAACACGAGAACATAATCGGTATGTTTCTATGTTTCAATTAGTAAAATTCCAAATTTCGAAAAAAAATTTTTAATTTTATCAAAAAAAAAAGAAATTATATTATAATATTAATTTATTACAAAAAAAAAAAAAAAAAGTGAAATTATTTGTTATAATTATTTTAATATTTAAAATTACTAATAATAATGTTATAATAAAAGAAATATTTAAAATATTACTAATAATTGTGATAAGAAACTATTAACAATTTATAATAAACTATCGTTTTTTATTACAATAAAATATTTTATTCATAATTTTTTGAAATTTCAATAAAAAATTCACTAATCTGGAATAAATATATTTTTTATTCATACCTTTTTTTTTTCTAGGAATAGCATAGTGATAATAAAAAATTTCCTATTGTTAGCTTTAATTACTGTATCAGTAATTGCTTTATCAACAATTATTGTATCAGCAATTTCATACTTGTATTATCATTATTTTAATACAAAAATGTATCCATGAAATAAGGCAAATTTATTTATTTTTCATTTTTCATATAAAATTTATCAATCTGTAAAAAATTTGTTACTTAAGTCAAAAAAAAAAATATATATATATATTTTTTTCTTTAAGCTGTTGTCTTATATCGCATTTTTATCTGCGCTAATAAGCTGATCAAATATTATTTTCATAGTATGTGAATGCAACCGTTTAAAATGAGTATTGTCAACGTAAATCACACGTGTAAAAATCACGTTCACGTGATGCATCGATTGTTGACATTTGTTTTGATATGACATGAAGGAAAGTTTTCCCAATAACCAAGGATTGATTTTAAAATTTTTGTTTTCAATAAGTGAATTTGTGGAGCTTTCATTTAAAAATGATATTTTTTATTTTAGAATTATAACATTATAAATAATTAATTAACTTTACAGCTATTTTTAATTGCATTTAAGTTTAAATAAACTTTTTTTGACAGATTGGTTAATGGCCTACGAAAGTTAAACCCGCATTGGAACGGTGATCGATTATTTATGGAAGCAAGAAAAATTGTTGGTGCAGAAGTTCAAGCTATCACTTATAGGTTACACATTTAGTTTTACTTTTTCTAATAATAATAATAATCAAAGATTTTAGTTTAATTAATTAATTAGAAGTATTGAAATTAAAAAATTTGATAAATTTCATTGAAGAAATAAATTGTTCATCATTAATTGAAAATTTCATTGAGCCAATATTTCATCCTAAATTTACTTAATAATATGTTGGTATTATTTTCAATAAATTATCCATTCATTACAAAAATTTCCTGCTAATTATATAATTGTTACACCTAAATGATAGATATTGAAATTAAAAAAAAAAAAAATTATTAAAATTTGATCCGTTTGCAGAGAATTTTTACCCGCAATTCTGGGAAATGCATTTGCAACAACAGTTGGTCACTATCGTGGGTATAATCAGAATGTTGACCCTACTTTGGTCAATGAATTCAATTCAGCAGCTTTTCGATTTGGTCATGGAATGATTCAAGTATGCAAATATGAATTTCCACTCAAAATTTCTTTTTATTTACTTTCTTTTTTTTTTTCAGCCGAAGTAAAAATTAATAATGGAAATGAAAAAAAAAAAAAAAAAAAAGCCAAAAAATTGGTTTAAATATTTGATTGACTACAAATAATACAAATGATAATACAACTGATAGAAAAAAAAATCAAATCATTGATTGATTGATAATTGGTGATTTCAATTCTTTAAAAAAAAAAAATCAAATCATTGATTGATTGATAATTAGTGATTTCAATTCTTTAGAAAAAAAAATCAAATCATTGATTGATTGATTGATAATTACTGATTTCAATTCTTTAGAAAAAAAAAATCAAATCATTGATTGATAATTAGTGATTTCAATTCTTTAGAAAAAAAAAATCAAATCATTGATTGATTGATAATTAGTGATTTCAATTCTTTAGAAAAAAAAAATCAAATCATTGATTGATTGATTGATAATTAGTGATTTCAATTCTTTAGAAAAAAAAAATCAATTCATTGATTGATAATTAGTGATTTCAATTCTTTAAAAAAAAAAAAAAAATCAAATCATTGATTGATTGATTGATAATTAGTGATTTCAATTCTTTCATCTGCTAAAGATAATTAACATTTACTAATTTTCCATTACAGTGATAAATTTGTAGTAAAATTTTAGGAAATTTATCTACGCTTAGATCAACATTTTCATAACACTTCTTTGGGAAGTTTTTCATTTGTTGAAGGAACACTACATACTGATCGTTTGATATTTGGTGTAAGTTTACATACATCGAATTCATTTGCAATAAAATTACGTAGAAATGATTTTAATGAGTAAATAAAATTAGCTTTATGAGTAAATAAAATTAGCTTATAATAAAATTTGCTATAGAGGAATATTTTGTTTGCATATAACTATGTAAATAGATAGATATTATAAATATTTCTTTTTATTGATATATAAAAAAATTGATAAGTGTAATTAAGATAAATTTGATAAATAAAAATTTATTAGTGAGCAGAAGTTATGGAAATGCTTAGGGTGGCATTGATCCCATTTTGCGTGGTATGATGATATTACCTGTAAAACGACCACAACGACTTACGAGATCGATAACAGAAAATATGTTTGGTAATACAGACCTTGGTACCATTAATATACAACGTGGTCGTGATCATGGCTTACCGTCATATACGAGATTTCGACAATTTTGTGGACTTTCACGTGCTACCACGTTTAATGATGTTTGTTTCTATTATTTCATCCAAATTTGCAATTGCTCATCTATTTGATTAGTTTAATTTAATTCTTTTTTTTTTTTTGAAATACTGAATAAATACTAATTAATTTTAATTTCTAAGACATTACAAAAAATGTTTGCTAATTACCTCAATAATTTTAATTATAAATTTTGTTGAAGAAAACAAAGATTATTAGCAAGAATGGTACAATGTACATTGTATGCACTAATTTAAATATTTAATTATTAGCAAAAGTTAACAGCTAAAAGCTAATGAGAATAATTTAGTTAAATTTTAAACTTTATTTAATCTTTGTTTGAATTTTTAGTTTTCACGCGAAATTATGAATCCTAAAATACGAGCAAAACTAAAGCAAGTTTATGGTACACCAGGTATGATTAACTTTTCAAAAATTAGCTAAAATTTCATTCATTTTCTCATTGAAACTTTTTCTTTCTTATGCACTAATATTTTCATATTTTTAGTAACGAAAATAAGAATTTGATTATTTTTAGTAAAATGTAAATTTTTATTTTAATAAAGTTTCAGATAAAGTAGACTTATTTGTGGGTGGTTTACTAGAAGATCCTGTCCAAAGAGGTTTTGTTGGACCAACTTTTGCATGTATAATTGGACCACAATTTCAAAGGACACGAGATGGTGATCGGTAAAAAAAAAAAAAATCTTTCAAATTTTAACATACCTTAGTTTTCTAAAATTTAATGACAAAAAAAAAAGCCAGTGAATTTTTATTTAATTTAGAATTTATTTTATTTTTTTTTAACATATGTTAACATAATGTAACATATTAGTTTGGAAATTAGATAAAAAATGATATGTCAAAAAGGTTAACTGATTAGCTATTAATAGGATAATTAATTACTTCAATTAAAATACAATTACAGGTTTTACTATGAGAATCCAGGTATCTTCACGCGAGCTCAACTAACTGAGATACGTAAAAGTAGTTTCTCTCGTTTACTCTGCGATAATGGTGATAATATCAGTAAAGTACCACGTGAAGCATTTCGGATTGGTCAGATGATATCATGTGGCCAGATATCACAAATAGACTTATCAAAATGGAAGGAATAATTGGAAATAAGAATGATAACTGATCTGATAAGAATGATAACAGATCTGATCTTTATTTGAATATATAATAAGCTCAAGTGATCTGACTGCCAAATGTCACATGAAAGGAAAAAGCAATTAAATGCATTTAAAATTTAATAATTTATATTGGACTACTTTGGAACCATTTTTTAGATAAATGATTTCAAATAAACTTTTCATACCATTTTATGAAATCCTCACATGAAATTAAAATGGAATTTAAATACTTATTAAAGACTGAAAAATTACCTTTTTATTCGATAAAGATTAGTTATTGATAAAAATATGTCGCATCACTAAATGATTATATAAGTAAAACTCTGCCTGAACTTTTTCAATTAGTTTCAACTTGTCGAATTTGAATTGATGAAAAGATTTACTAAAATATTACCTCGTCATGGAAGTTTCATCAAAAAAAAAAAAGTTTTAGTTAAAATATTCATTACATTTTATTTGATATTATTACTCAATAATATCATTTAATGATTTCATTTATGAATGAAAAATTATTTATACCCAAAATTCCGTGATTTCATCAATATTTTAAAATGTTTCTTAGCTTAAAACATAATGTATCATAAAATTTGTGATATTATTGTAAGATTTGAAAGTTTCATCTCATCAAAACATTTTTGCCTTTATATTTTCACTAACTAAATTTCTTGAAATAAATTATGATAAATAGAAATTTTATATGGCAGAGATGATTGTGTAATAATTAAATAGGAAGGAAAGAGAATTTTCAACAAATTATTAAATTATACTAATACTTTAATAATTCTCATTTATTTATACTTCACAAATTTTCCACAAGATAAAATCAATTGTACAATATTCATTTCTTAATTTGTTAAGCTGATCATATCATTTATCAGTAATGCAAACCTTTTTCCTTTATAGAATACACTTCATGAGACTAAGATCAAACTGTGATTCTCAACTTTCCTATCTATCTACTGATAATACAGATGACTAGTTGCATAAGTTAGTGATATATTGATAAGATAACAATTGTGTGGCAATTCGATTTTATCATAATGAGTGGATGAAATGAATTTTTGATTTATTCTGCTTATTAGTTTATCTTTCTAAGTAATTCCTAGCTTAATTTATTACTTATTAATCACTTACTTACTTATTACTTATCAACTTACTTATTAATCAGTTTGAATATATTTGAATGTATTGATTAGCACATATGTATATTGATATTTCATTGTTTATCACTAATTTATTGATTAGTTTTTTTTTTTTTTAAATTAATAATTAATTAATAATTATTGATTAGTTTTAATTAGATGCTATAACGCAGTATCTAACATTTAAAATTGATTCATTGCAATAAAATCCTAATCAAAATTAAAGCAAATTTATTGTAATTCCAATCGAAATTTTCTCTTCTGGTATTTTTATTTTAGTAATTTAAAAATGTTCAAAAAAAGAAAAAAGAGATTAAAAAATTTGAAAAAATTATTGAAAACAAATGCAAAAAAAAAAAAAAAAAAAACATCATATTTTCAGAAATTTTAACATATCATTTTTATTATAATTTTCAATTGAATTCTTTAAACAAAATATAAAACATTGATTAATTAACAAAATTTATACTTATAATACCAGTTGTTAAAAGTTTCAAAATTTTTGCACTTATCAAAATTATAAACAAATGAATTTATTTTATGAAAAATGCCAACAAAAGTGATACGTCATTAGTTGAAATGACGCAATTAAAAAATTTACGTCTAACTTTTAATTAAACCTTTATCCACTTTTATCTCTTAACTTAACTAATTGTTATCATTTGACATCACAAAATGCTGCATTGTTTACCTTAGTTAATCTTATGTTTACCTTAGTTAACGGAAATGATTTCATCTTAGATAAAATCTCAAAGTATAATATCAAATTACGGATAGAATTTATTATTCAAACATTCACTGCAAAAAAAAATGTAATATTATCCAAATTTCTTTTCTTTTTATGTAAACATTATAAAGTGTGCATCATATCTAATTCAATATTTGTTTTACATTATTTCAAGAATTCAAAAAATAAATTCCGTAATATTTTTTGAATAAATTTTCTAAAAATTTTAAAAAAGACAAAAAGTAAAACTAAAGAATGAATGAATATTGATAAAAAAAAAAAAAAAAAAAAAAACACTGTAAATAATTTATAATTGCTTTAATTATTAATTAGCAATAAATTAGGAAAGTAAATCATTCCTTTTCGTAAATTGTATCGTATTTTTTAGGTCATATATTAAAAATTTGGGTTCAAATATTAGCACTAAAATTTTCGTAGGTTTTCTTGCTTTATTTTTAAAAAAAATTTTTTTAAGCTAAAATTTAATTGCAGTAGTTGATGAGATACTAATCATGCAAATTTAATTTAACTCAAAAAGTTACATTTGATTCAACAGGAATGATCAGTAAGACAAATTTGTTTACTTAAAAAGTTTTTTGATGCTGAAATTATCTGTATCAACAGTAAAAAATTTGGCTAAATCAAAGCCAAATAAAATTTTGAATCTGTGGCATTCAATTTCATAAAAGGAAAATAACGATTTTTTTTTTTTTTTTTGAATTTTATAAAAATGAAACAATTCAAAAAAAATGATCAGTCTTTAATAAAAAAAAAAAAAGATACTCATAAATTATGAAAAATTCAAGATTTAAGATGTCTAATATGATTATTGAATGACATGAAATAACAATTAATTATACAGTTATTAATTTTCATGAAATGTGATTATCACTTTTATTTAATCATTATCATCTTTACTTGATGAATATTTTTTTTATATAAGAATTATTTTTATTTAAATGCATAAACATTGCTTTTTCTTATTTTGAAATAAAACTTCTGCATTTTAAATTTAATTAAACATTATCAATTTGAGGAAAATAACAGTCATTCGAATCAAAAACTGTGAAGAAAAAAAATTATGCTAAAATGTTGCTGATATGAAAATAAATAAGTAAATAAAAACCATCTAAAAATAATAATTTTGAGGTTAGAGCTTTCGCCGCTAATTCAATTTAGCTTTTCATTATAATTCTATGCCTGTGCGTTTCATGTAGACACCAAATTTCATTGTTCTTTGCATTCGGCATCGATGCAACAATTACTCTGTGTAATTGTCTTCCGGAATAGTTATATTTCCGGTTTCTTCTTTTTTCAGTAGTTTTTTATAACGTATTAGGTTGAGAGAGAAAATATGGAAAAAAGAAATAGATAAGCACTGATACATGTAATTAGTACATGTAAAGTGTCGTGAACAGTAGAAATAGTATGGGATCGTTGATTGAAAAGATTGATAAAAATGATAAGAATTATTATATAATGCGTAAGTAATGAGTAAGTGCTATTTATAGTATGTAACGTCAATAACTTGCTAATTCTTCTTGCTGATTAGAGTATTCGTAGTTGTCACGAATGGATATACTTATTAAAATTAAAATTGTCTTGTTTCTCCTACTTTTTTTTCCACTAGTAGTAATTATCGAATAACTCCAAAAACAAGTTGATACTATTATGGAATAGAAACATAAATTTGTTTACTTATTAGACCTTTTTCCTTTTCTTTATTGTAATAAATTCAGATGTTACAGTGAAAAATACCGATTCATGTGTATTTGAGAAATTATGTTTGAAGAAGTTATTTTTAGGGTATGTGTTACTAAACAAGTTTTTGTTTCTTTAAAAACTAACCCGTCATGAGCAGTAACTCGAAGGGCCATGTCACGAATCGATTTGAAAGGTTTTGGTGGAAGATGTCTACCAAACGATTTTGATGATTTTAATTTTGATGTTTTGTCTGAAGACGATGTTAGTTATTTAGATTTTCCTTTTTTTCTTTTTTTTATTTTTTTTTTTTATGGTAGCAGAGTTAAATATGTTTTAGCTTAAATATGTTTACTTTATTGCTTTCATTTTTCGAAATATTTTGAAGAGGAGAGGTTAGAAATTTGAGAATAAACGAACTTACTGAAAGTTGGCTATATCGGAAACATGAAGGCTTTGTTAATTTCAGGATTTGGATGGTGAGCAGCCAAATGATAACATCGATGCAGTCAATGATGAAACTTTTGGGGTGGGTGTTGACGACAGTGTCTTGGATGATGATCTTGAACAATATTCGAAACAAGTAAAAATCTACTTACTTGTATATGTGAGACCATGCTAGGATATTTTTCCCTCGTTATTGTAAGGTGAAAGAAAGAAAGTCTGTTGTTGCTTACTGTTAAAAGAAATTTTTATGTCAAGAGTTTTGGTTACTAATAGATCCAAGTTGGATTATCCTTTGGATTTTCAATTCATCAACTGATATAAGGAATAAAATTCTAATCAAATCAGTTTGCAGACAGCAGGTTTACAACTGGATGATGAAGCGCCGAAATGGTTTGATGAACCTACCTGTTCGGTATCCGCTCCCCATCCATCTGAATTACCAGCACCTCCATTTGGATTTAACTCATTTCCTACAATGGATGTATCTTCGTTTCACTCAAAAAATTTCGGAGATTTCAAAATGCAACTCGTATGTGAAACATTATTTCCATTTCTGCTTGTTTTCGGATAGATTTCGGAAAGTTTCTGTATTTGTTACTGTATGAATAGTGGTTTTTTTTTTTTTTTTTAAATTCTGTAACTGCTTAGTTTTAGTCTAGTAATAAAGCTTTGTTAAAATATACTGAGTTTTGTAGGGGACAACTGATACGTTGTGGAAAAATGTTGATTCTACAACATCGTTGGGTTGGAGTGGTCCAGAACTTTCGACACCGCAGCAGTCCTCCGCATATGACTTCATAAATAAGACAGTCCCAGACCAGTCCCAGAAGAGTTTTCTAACGGTGAAGGTACTCGAAATTCTTCTATACCAATTCTTAAATCAGTAATTTTACATCTTCTAAGCTGACTTTAAGAAGGCAGTTCGAGAGTTTGATCGTCGAAGTTGTCTCCGATGATCAAACGACGTGCATATTGTGGAAGGTGTTTGTCGGTAATGTAGTTATGTATTTAATTTAAAATGTAATATGTTCCATGTAAGCATGATGATAATTGATGTGAGATATGTATGAAATATTAGCATCATTTACAGAATATTATACCGTCAGAAGGGTGTTCTGATAAAAGTGATGGTGTTCATTCACTAGCAGCCTTACCAAAGAATGCACTTACTCTCGAAGAAGTTGAAAGGAACCACGTCATCAATGCTACTAAACCAGCAGCAGATGCAGCATTATTGCCTTTACCATTAGGTTCATTATTCTAATTTATCTTTGTGTGATCGGTCTTTGTGTGTTCAGAATTTCCATTCTTTGATTAACTGCAATTTTTTGTCAGCTGGTGCCGTAGCACTGGTTGATTTGGAAAGGCAACTGCTAATGAGATCATCAGGCCAAGTAACAGTTTCTACTCCCGATGTTGATCGATCTGCAAGTGCTTTACCACCAGATTCACGAATCCCACCGATGATCCCCCCTCTGCCACCGCCACCTCTACTTCAGCGCTTGCCCTACCCTATGTTACCTCCTTTCGCCATGCAAATTACAAGAGGTATGTTTTGTTTATTTTTGCTTTGATTAGCAAACAAAAATTGAGACACAATCACAATTCTGATTCATAAACTAATGGTGGCTTGTTTTTTGAAGTAATATACAGTTGGTGAGGATGTACAATAAGAATAGTATTGAGGATGGGATTGATTATAGAAACTAATTTCTTGTTTATTCATTTATCGGTTTTCCATTTTTGCAATCAAGTTTTAATATTTAGTGTTTTTTTTTAGCTCATCTGCTCGGTCAACTGCCAGAATTACCACCTGGTTTTCCTCCGATAACACCACAAATGCGAGCAGCGATTCTTTCATTAGGACCACCACCTATGATGCGAATGCCTTCACATCCAATGCTTCCACCGTTTCCTTTCATGCAACAACCTTCCCATATAATGTTTTTTTTTTTTTTTTGAAGTTTTCGCTTTGCATTGCAAGATCAAGTTTTAATGAGCTACTCAAAGTCTAAATTTTCATGAGTTCATTTTCAAGATAATCTTTATCAAATTTACTCTGTCTGCATTAGTTATTTTTGAAGAGTCAAGATGCTAACTCACGCCAGGTGCAGATATTTTGAAAAATAATTTTTAAAAAAAAATTTTTTTAGGTCAGGTCGACCAGCACTACCTTCATATTTGCCTTGTCCTCCGCAAGCTCAGATGCAGTCACATATTCCTCAGGTATCCCACCACAACATGAGTCACAGTCGAGAACGTTCGAGCAAACTTACTGGTTTAGTATCGAATAAAACAATTTCTGATTTTGCATTATCTCCTTTTGCTGGCTTCGTTTCAAAGAAAGAGCGCAGTTGGCTTATCAAAATTCAGCAGTTGCAGTGCCAGGGATGTGGCAATCCATACGAGGATGATTTTTACTACACAGTTTGTTTTATGTTTTAATCAAGTTTTCTTTTTATGCTTATCAGTTAGCTAGTACAGATCATATCTGAGCTTTATATAATGTATCCCAATTGGTTCCTGGTCCATTTACTGTTTATGACAAACATACAAGGATTTCATAGTAATATTTAATATTCGTAATCATATATATATATATATATATATATATATATATATTAGGAAATATGTTGTAATCAATTTTCAGTTGTCTTTTTGAGTTTTTATTACTTATTGTTTTATAGTCATGGAGACAAAAGAAAATGTCATTGGAGAAGCACAGGCAAGAATTGAAAGCGGAGAATCAGGAATATGTGTGGGCCACAACAAATTTGCACCATTATCATTATGTTCCGCCAACATTTGCTGGTAGTTTAGGAAAGCCAACACTTTCCACTGTTAATTATCCGAGACAGGTATAGCTTTTTTCCTTGAGACTTGTTGCTGGCAGTCTTGCTTGATAAGTACGCAAAACTCGCAGAATCCAATCATCGGCAGAGCTTAAATCTTCTTACTTCCTATTTTCCTCTGGATATTTGCTTATCTTTTTATCATTTATATATGATGCTAAATTCATGTCCTAATGTACATCTCCTTTAATTAACAAGTTAGATAAGTAAGCTTAACTGTCTATGTTGTGAGCATTTCGAAAAAGATTTTCAAACTTAATTGTTTCAAATACGTCGCACTAAATCTGGCTGCATTTACATATGAATATTGTAAAATAATCCCTTTTCGTGAATATGCTTCATTACTTAGATATATCTATTACTCATGACCTTGGAAATTATGTAGTCTTGATTACAACAGTAGTCTTTTCTGAATTTCAGCTGATCGATCTGTCAAGTGACTCACCGGACGATGATGATAAGCTTTCAGTGAAGAGTAGTACATCACAGAAAAAACTGCGAGCACTTCTTTTGCAGCTGGAAAATATCGCGTTATTAATTATAGAATGTGATGATAGACATCGAATACTGTGTGCTCCTTCACTTTCTCAGGAAATTCAGTAAAGTTTTGCTATTTTATCTCCATTTTTGTTTCTCTAATTGTAGTAAGATGACTTATATCCACATGACTTTTAATTTTTACATATAACTCTTATTTTATATAACACATAAGGCTTCCAATTTATTAGTTTACTTTATTTCATTTCACTGCTCCTGTTTGTTTACAGGGAAGAATTGAAGAGTGATGTCGAAAGTCGTATGAAAACTATAGTACATACTCTGTGTTTGAACGGACGTCTGCAAGCTGTTTTGCTAATTAATAAAGGACGTCAAATATTTGCAAGAACATTGTCATTTGCTAGTGAACAGCAGCAGTTGCATCTTCTTAAAAGCTTTTTTGCTGCTTTATCAACGCTTGTCAAAAAGGTTCCATCAAATGAGGTTTGTTTTCCTTTCACCTTGTGTAAATTGTGATGTTAATTCTAAGGATATTTAATTCTTTACACAAAATATTTTTAGTTTAGAGCACTAGCATCAAAGTTATTTGTCGGGTTATACAAGCATTGTCATTAGTTTCTCTTTAACAGGACTCTACTAAATTTGAATTCGAGCTATTTTTTTTTTTCCTTTACATAATGCGGAGATTTAGATTTTTTCTTTCCTAAAGATAAAAAACTGGTATTTCAGATGAATGAATCATTGCTTGTGCCAATATTCAAGACATTTTCTCACTTTTCAAAAAATGCACTCACCAGTTTCATTAATGACTCGAAATTGGTTTTTGGTAGCGATATAACTGTGAACCTGGTATAATTATTTTTAAGATGTTGTTTGTTATTTATCGAAATTTTTTTCCCTCAAATCATTTTAGATTTTTTTTATATCTATGTTGCTTTATTTGATTGAGAGAAGAAAATCTCTTTGAATTCCTCAGTCCTTCTGCTATTAATGGATTCCCAAAAGGAGTACTATGCTAGTAATCGAATTTCCAGTTTAATTTTTAGATGCGTACTGTTAGATTTCAGAAATTGGGTAATTGAATGAATTTAATTGGATTACGCGTCCAGTACTTTGAAATCCCAAATTTTGTTGGCAGAGTAAATAAAAATGAATAAATTTTGGATGCTGCATATTAAATTTTAATTACGAAGTTTTATAATTATTCTATATCCAAAAGTTATTTCAGTTTACGACAAATCTGCTCATTTCATTGTTGGTTTGTTGTTCACGTCAAAATTGCTCTTTGGATGCCTGTTTTTGCTCTACTACTTTGTCTTCACTAATCCGACCATGCTCACAGGAAATTAAATGTTCTTTGGAACAGTGTATTGTTTTAACGTTAGCTGATATCAAAATACTTGATGCCTGGTCAGCTAGTAATATTACCGGTTATCATGGATCAGCTGCAGAGAAACTTATCCAAAATTTGCAGCTTGCCTGTAGACTTCAGGGATCGAATAATTGAATGATTTTTCTTACCAAAAATTTCTTTTGAACTTAGTTCAAAGTTTTGCTGTCTGGATATAATTCTACTTTGACTTTGTTTTTTCATTTTATATCTGCGCGTGGTCATATTTTCTTATTTTTGTTTTGTACCTGTTTATGTCTTTATCTTCCTCTCAGATAATATTTTGGTTCTATTTTATCAGCAGTTATCGTGCAATGAGCAATTTAAGAATTTCATCAAGTTATTTCTCTGTCATTATCTTACCAGAATCTGTATTGTACTTTAACGATTGTACATAAACGTCGGTGTGGGCTTCCGACTAATTATGCTATTGTTAAAAGATGATGAAGTTCAAAATTTGGACCTAATTAAATTTAGTTAGCTTTAACTGCAGCTTTATATTTTAAAGCATTGGACTTGGTTTTTGTAATTATTATTGTCTGTACTAGTATTTCTTAATGAACAATTTCTATCTATAGTTTGGCTAGGAAATGAGGTTTGGTATGACCGCAGAGCTCAGAGCAACGTCAGTGTTTGTGTCTTACGAAAAAGACGTGTTTTTATTTTATCAGTTAGTATGAAAAAGGAGAGTTCTTTTTTTTTTTTTATTTTGTATCTAGACTCGTACATTTTTTATTTTATGTTCTGTTACTTTTGACTTTTTCCATTGTACAATCATTAAATTTAGTGATCCATCCCTTGCTCTATGCACAATTTTGGAATAAAATGAACTTGAATTAAGTCGGCCGAAAAAAGGAAATATTTTTATAAGTTGGGATTAATTTTTGCATTCAAATACAAGTAAGAAAGTTCATGTCATTTATTCAGTAACTATTGAATGCTTTTCCACAAATTTATCTCTCAGAATCCTTCTGACGTATATTTTATATTGATTTACACTTTTTTAAAGTTACATCCTTAGCTTTAGGAGAAGTCTCTTTTCTGTTCGATCTTTTTTAAATTGGCCTAATTTAAAATTTCTTTTGTTTTTACATGTATCATTATTTTCATTTTTGCTCTTTTTCTTTTGCATTTCTTTCTAATTTTATATTTCTGTTGTTCTTGTGATATCAATTCTCAAACTTACACATTTATTTTAGAAACAAAAAAAAAAACAATGTTGTTGTAAGATTTTTTATGTTTGTTGTTTTTTATATGCTGTCATTCTTTAACGTTTAAGTGCTAATTTTGGAAGATTGAATTTTTTTTGATGTCTCAGGTAGTTCATTAGAATTTCAACATTCGAAGTTGGGAAATACATGTGCACATTAGTTTCTAGATTACACACTATTGTCATTGTACGAAATATATCGATTGTCTCCAACACTTCGTCTTTTTGCAGTAGGTTAATTGTCCAGGTATGGCAATAACTATCTCATTGCAATTTTTGTTATTACTTTTGATATTGACGAGTAACAGTAATGCGTTCCATAATATCGAGGTTCAATACTGTGCACGTTTTGATACCGTTAAGTAGAATTCTTGATACTAATTGGATTTTGATCGATGAGGTTGTTATATGAGTGTCATACGAATTCCGGTATTCGTATTTAATGGTATATTAAAATTTGATCAGTATAAATTGTTGTACTCTTTAGTTCTAGTTACAAGAACAAGTTCCTTGGGTTTTTTTTTTTTTTTTTCTTTTTTTTTAGTAACTTATTTACTCATTTGCAGCATATAGAAATGCTTGCTACTCTTACAATTAATTGTTGGTTTCAAATCTTTCAGAAACTGTTGTTTGTTATTCGGTTGGTTAAGAATGATTTACACTTATAATTTATATAAATAATGTTAAGTGAAATCAGAAACAGTTGGAGTTATATAGCATTGACTTGTTTAAAGTTAAATTCAATTACTTGCTTATTTTGGATATATTGTGTAATGTTTGTCATGCAGTTAGAAGTATGAGAGAAGCATTATTACCTGAGAAGAAAATTTTTAAATGAGTTTGAAAAGTGCAATGAAATTAGTAATGGAAGAAATGAAAAATTATTGTTCTTGTTCTAGTAAAAATCAATCCTGACAAAATGTTTTCCATAGCAAAATTATTGATAAGTAGTTAGATAATTTGAGAAGGAGAATAGTAGGTGAGAAAGGATGTAGATTTTGAACTCTTATTTTGGCATTTGCAATTAGAAAACATGCTGCTAATTACTTCCAAATGTTTCTGCAACATTGTTTTTTTCATCCCTTAATACTTGGTCTTCTTTGATTTTCTTAATTGTCTTCTTTGTGACCTTTTAGTGACTTTTACACAGCTCCATATCCATATTGATAGGAGTAGTTAAACTTTCCTAGCCTTTTTTTTTTTTTTTTTTTTTCATATCATTCTAATCATTTTCTTTTTTTTGGAAGTCTTAATGTTTTTAAGCAATAATATTATAAAATTTCAAAGTGTATTATTACACTTTGATTTCTATGCTTTTGTTTCCTATGATTCCTAAGCTAACCAATTCCAGTTATGTTTTTTAACTTTTAAACATTTCAGAGCAGTTATGCTTTTAAGCAAATTTTGATTTTGAATTGGTTAGCATAATTTGATGATGATCAGAATGATTTAGTGAATCATTTCAAAAATTGTACAGGATTTTGATTAGACTACTATATTTCTTATATTTCTATTGAGGTTTAATAAAGGAATTAGTTATGAATGGTCTCCAAGATTCACTCAAAGATTGCAAATTTTTAAAAAGTGCTTCTTTTTATAAGTGACATTTGATGATGTCAGGAATTAAAACTAATATTTTTAGAAATCTCGAACTAATCATTTCTTGACCGAAGGAAGGAAATTAATTAAACATTTTTGAAATATCTGCATATTATTTGAAAGTTATATTTCTTGACATCACCTTATTTTGACATGAGACATAAAATTTTCCAAATTTTTTCCTTCTTGTTAGTGAAATTTGAAATAAAATTTCTATTACTTTTTTAAATCATACCTATATCCCTTTATGCTATATAGTATACGTTTAATTGAACTGAAAAATTTTTGTTCTTCACTTGTAACAATTAAAATTGATACTTTCTGAACTATTTTGAACAAATGTTTTAATTTACTTTTGTGAAAGAGAAGCGATAAATGTAATAATAAGATGTAGGTGAGAAAAAAAAAAATGAAATAATTATAAAATTGGTTTGATTTCTGATATAATATGATAATGAATGATAATTGTTTTATGAAAAAATTCGTCGAGAATTAATCGCTTTGTAAATTAAATTGTAGTAAAAATCAACGTAACAGAATGGTGGTTGAAAATTGTTCATTTGATGATTTATCTTTTATCAAATTAAAATATATCACTTAAATAATATCATCATATTTTGTCTCATATCATACATATACCAGTGAAAAAAGTCTTTGAACTAATGGAACTATTACAGTTACTATTCAAAACTTTTTAGTGTTCCTTGTTTGAAAGTAATAGTATGTTTATATACTTAAACTATTTTTCTTATAGATTTTAATTCATTTTAGGTTCTGAGTAATTCATATAAATTTTAAGTTTTAATGATGAGAAGAAAGGAAAGTTAAATTTTAATAATATTGTGATTTTATTAAAGGAAACAAACATTTCGATGAATGCTCTCTATAGGAATGACATATTACGTATGCAAAAAAAATTTATTATAATTCATAACGAATGCAAATTATGCATTATTATTAATTTCATATGATAATTGAGTAATTCATTAATGATATCATATTGTTTTTATATTTGAATACTATTAATCATATTTCAATCATTTCGATATATAAATATGTCAAATTATTGTATTTTTTTGCCATTTATGTTGACAGTGCTATGTTAAGTGGGTTCTATCAGTGATTATAATAATGTATGTTTATTTATTTCAAGTATAATATAAAATGAATGTGAATAATTTTATAATGATGGAGAATTGTTTCATTATGAATATTTTCCTCAAGAGAGAGAGAGAGAGAGAGAGAATTTAAATTTTTATTATTTGGAATAAATTTTTCATTTAATACTATCATGTGAGTTTTAATTAAATTAATTTATATTATAATACTTATGAATGTTTTTCTGTCTTTTTTTTTTTCATCCTTTCTCTCTTTTTAAAAATATTTTACTGTTTTTTTTTTAGTTGTAGATATTAAAAATTATATAACTAATAAATTGTGATTTATTTTAGAAAGGTTAATTGGTTAAGAGGCGGTAATGTTTAGTGTTTATTTATCTTACCTTATACATATATCATTTCCTTTGTTTTCTTTAAGTTTTTTTTTTTTTGAGCTATTCTTGATAATTTAATTTGCATAATGAATTTTGATAGTAAAAAAATGATTGTTACATGCAGGTATGAAAATGTTGTGATTAATGCAAATTTCTGATTTCTACTTTATTATTTCCCAGACCAAAATTTAATTAATTATTGTTGTAGGAGTAGCAATAATTATCATAAATAGTTTTTAGTCGTAATATAAATTAGAAATTTAATACACTGCAGTGTTATGCAGAAGTAATTATTGGCTGAAATATTAATTTTACAACAATAAATGATCAATTTTTTGTATTGATAACAAAGACATACTCATTTCACAATGATATTTGATAAGTTCGTGGAAATGTCATTTGCATAAAAAGTAACACTAATTCCTCTTACTTGTTACTTCATTTGTAAAGTTTTTAATTGTTATTTATCACTTATTTTATCATTGCTAATATTTGTTATGAATTATTATTGGTTATGCTATCTGATTAGCATTTTTCAGGTCATTATGATTGATAGTTAAGAGAGAGTGCTCGGGAGGTGAATGAATTGTCAATCAATGGTTCCACCAAATACACCAGTTATTGACCCACGTTCCTTTCGTTCTTTTTGTTTTCGAGGTGAAGGTCGTGCCAATTTTGTGATTAGTGCAAAATGTGAAAAAACAGGTTTAAGGTATGTTTCTGCATTTTTGTAGTTTTTTTTTTTCTTGTTGTTGTTGTAGCTTATTGTATGATGAAGATTTTGCCATTTTGTCAAAAAGATTTACAGCACAAAAA